TCAGGGATGGCCTGATCAATACTGACAATTTTTTCCATAACTCAGCCATTTCTTGATGGATCCTTCTCATCTTCGAACTTGACTGAGATATTAATGAGATCATTATGTGTACAAAATTTCATGACAATTGGATGAGGCTTTCAAAGGTTATCATGTTAACGGCCGGCTGACCGAACGGACGGACACACTGTTAAGGTGTACTTTCACTTGTTTATTAGCAGGTTCGATAACCTACACTTTAACAATAATAAACAAGAACTAAAAACAATAACAGGGACAGATATACTCGTATTCAATTATCTCCAATGAGATAAAGAATACATAATAATGTGTAGAGGACAATAGGAGAAAGAAAAATAGCGCTATCGAGGTAGATGATGCTAATGATCTGTGTGTGGATGCACAGATCAAAACACACACTGGCCGAATCTAGAGTGTACTCACTTTTTTTGAGTACATAAAAAGCAAATTATCTAATCCATTTAGTAAATCTCAAGGTCACATACAAATGATTGACAATGGTAATAAATAATTTTATCAAAAATACAGTGTTTAACGATTAGAGGAGTCAGCCGTGCGGCTGAGCCGCCGCCGCCGTGGCAGTGGAAATTTTAAGATTTATTAGCCGCCGCCGCCGCCGACCCCTATTATTGATATCGACAATTTTTATTTATATTTTCATCTCAATATGATATATAGAGATGCACCAATTCCTAGTACATGATCTGATAGATGACATTTTTGCCTGATGAAGGACACAGTTGTCCGCTGATTCCATAGAGAAGTCAAGATCAGTTTTTTCGCCTTCTCTGAAACCATAGTCGGAATTTATGAAAGATTTTCAAAAATGCTTCGGATTTCACGTGGTTTTTACACAAAATTACAATTTTCAAATTTTGTTGGGTCAAATGCTGGGAAATCTAATTCAATTTCAGGCTTGCAGTTTGTATCAGACAAAGTCTAGTGGCGGTTCCACGGGGTGGCTGAGGGGGATTTAGTTCCCTCAGGTAATTTTTAGGCGCCCATGAACCACTCCCAGTGTAAAATCCTGGCTCCGCCACTAATAAAATCTAAGAATAGATTTGAAGAGAGCGTTCAAAACTGAACAGAAATAATATGAAAAAAGATGCTCGGCTGATAACTGCGAATGACGAGCATGTTCTTTTTATACAGGGGAAAACAATTCCTGGAATTTTTGATCTAATGTTTGCTTCTTTTCAGTATTGAGAGTTATCGACCGAGCATCTTTTTTCATATTATTTCTGTTCAGTTTGAATGCTCTCTTCAAATATATTCTTAAATTTTGCCTAGTACAAACGGCAAGTCTGAAATTGAGTTGGATTTCGCAGAATTTAAGCGCCCAAAACTTACAAATTCTAATTTTATGTAAAGTCCAGGTAAAACCCGAAGCCTTGTTAAAATCTTTCATAAATTCTGACTGCAGCTTAGGATGGAGCGGAAAAAAAACTAATTTTCACTAATCTATGAAATAAGCGGATAACTGCGTTCTTCATCAGGCAAAAATATCATCTTTCGGACCATGTACTTAGAATTGGTGTGTCCCTAATTTATTTAAATGTACTTTATTTATTATGCCAAGATGTAAAATAAAGTTGTTTCACATATTTGTTTAAAAATATTAACGGTAAGATATTGCAATAGACAGAGTGTTCTTGTTCACAAAACTAGTGCTTTTTTAACCTTCCAGCCGCCGCCGCCGTGCAGCCAAAATATTTGAGTTAGCCGCCGCTGAGCTTTAAAAAATAAATCAAAATTTTTAAAGCCGCCGCCGATGAGCACCTCGGCTGACACCTCTAATAACGATTGCATTTGATTGAAAAGTTTGATTTAAATAAACCACGTGTTTGTATCGAAAGAAAACGTTCGTGAGTATTTTTGATTAATATAAATACTCTTTTTTTTTCTTCCGAAATTAATTCAGTAAAAGAAAATAATTTTCAAAAGTTAAATCTCACAAAAGTAAATTTAGCTGTTTATTTTTTGTGTCATATTTATGTTAATTTGTTTTAGAATAAAAGACAGGTGTGCAGATTACTGTATGTGAACAAAAATTGCTTTCGTAATCTTGTCTTCCAAGCAATAACCGAAAAATTATTCTCGTACGACTAATAGTTTACCATAGTTTATGTTATAAATGTTCTCATGGATTTTTTACAACATTCGCGCTAGAATATGAATTGCCATTTTATTTGCTAATCATCTTGCACTTCTGAAAAAGAACTTTATCTTTATTGTTAGTAAATGTTTTTTTTATGTCAATGACAAAAAAAAGAAAAAGATTCCCATTTTAGAGTTTAGATAGTTTGAAATATAAAATAGTTTTGTTTTATGCTGATATTACATCAGTACATACTGCTGTCGAATATCATGTTCAAAAATTAATCCAGATATTGCAGTAGCCAATAATAATATAGTAACTATGGTATTTAGAGTAATAAGTATAATATATCGTTTGCGAACATAATAGAAAATTGGTTGAGAAAAACCATTCGACTGGATTTGTTCTACTGTGAGAACAGCAGTTTTCTTAAAGTCTGAAACTAATGTAAAACAACATGAATTCTTAGTAGCCAATGTATTGGATAATGCAATGCCTCTATTGTTTACTTGGTTAACAGAACAACATCCGAATGATTCTTGAATTCTACCAACGATTTCTTGCGAACCAACGACTCCACCTAAAGTGGAATATCTATTAAGGATACTCTGAGTTTCGTTGTACGTATGACGTTTAAGATCACCAATGCCTACTCCAAGAATAATAAGACAGATTACAGCAAAAACAGAAACAACTAGAATTGAAATTGAAATGACTGTTGTCAATGCTGGAAGTTTATGATTGACAACATATAAAAGGCCAGCCGCAAATACAAAAGTTAAAACGCCAACTATAATACTACAAATTGATAATGCATATATCTGTTGCCATCCATGTCGAAGGAAATATGTATCACTCGTACAAATCGATCCAGCGACTATCAGAGTACTGCCAAAAATTAATGTTATACCACTTAATATAGTGCTAATTAATGAATAGCCTCTAAACATTTCTGCTAAAATAATGTTGATGCGTTACTATTTTGAATGAGTATATGTTTCGATTTATTGCAATGAATAAATAAATAGAAACAAGTATAAACGGTATGCAGTATGAGTATATTCACAATCAGCAGCGTCAACCAAGCGTTAATTTTTTTTCTGTCCTCTTTTCTTCTCAAATTTTCAAATATTTTCTCATTCGCAGTCGCTCGCGACCGTCATTATATTATCAATCATGTTAGTCTATCTAGACTAGACGTGGAAAATACATAAATTGTTTGTTTCAAACATAAACAAAGGAATATATAGAGATGTATCCGTGAGGAAAAAAAGAAAACAAAGGAACGAAAGATGAAAAAAGCGAAAGAAAAGAAGAAAGAAAGAAAGAAAGAAAGAGAAAGAGACAGAGAAAGAGAAAAAGAAAGACAAAGAAAAGAAAGGTAGCGGACCAAGTACAGCTTCACTACCTAACAAATCATTCACTTTATCTGCGATAAATAAATTTAGTTATGATTAACAAGTTTTGATAACCATATATTGATTATGTTCAAGAAAATGGCAAGGAAAATACACACTAAAACGTTGTTCAATGTCAAGTTTATTTATTTATTTATCAATGCATAACAAAGCATAAAATGCATCGTATGTATGAAAGCTAAATAATTTAGAGAGCGAATTCTATTTCACTTTTCCATTGTGATATTGTTGAATACTAATGATACACATTCTTTTTTACATTAAACTAATGGAAAATAAAATTGTTTTGAATGAGATTTCAAAATAGAATGATTAAAAAATGAATGTATCTTGCTTTAATTCATTTGAGTGAGATGAAGTATAGAAGCAAGCGTAAATCCGACCTTGAGAGGGCATACAGTACTATAGAAAGTTAAACTGGTATATAGTTATGTGAATTTCGTGTTTGTTTTATCGATTGTATTGTAATCAAGAAATATTCTCAAAGATAGTCTTGGGGAAAAAAGTTCAATCAGAATAAGAACAACGCGGACTACTGATATCAAATAAAATGCGCTATATAAATCATGAACATCAAAGTATTATTTAAAAAAAGGCAAGCAAATGACTTGCAAGATTGAAACTGATTTCTACTAGTCAATCAATAAAGACAACATATCTAAGGGAGGGCGGGGGAGGGAGTGTAACGCCTTGATGAGGATCAGAGACGCAACTAATAAAAATGCCAGGTGTCACAGTGTTGCTTATGCCAGGATGACACAATGATAATTGAATAGTATTGAATATTGGATGAAGATCCAATTGTTTATTCAATGAACAGAAATAGTTGTGAATAAGAAGAACTCCACAAGCAAGTAGCTGACACGAGTTCAAACGATTGTAAGGGACAAGCAAGTTAAATTGATTGTAATGAACAACCGGTGACCGGACAACCAAGTTGAAAGAAAAAGTAATATGTAATTGATCAAAAAGATGATTCTTTTTGATAGAGAAGAAAAGTAGTCAGAGAAGAAACACTCGAATGATGAGCGAAATGTATTGAAAGAATGAGTATAGGTATATCTCAGTGAGGAGAGATATATGAAGAAACTTGAAGAAAAAAGAGAAGAAAAAGAATAATGAATTAACAATATTAGGCGCAAAAACAAACAAGAGGAAAAGAGGGGGAAGCTAGAAAAAAACCAACAGACACGAAGATAAGATCAGTGACGCTTATGCCGTCACAGGGGGAATAGTTTTAAGATGCTTAAGAATTTGAAAGACTTAGATTAACTAATTTACTATTAACGATATATGAACCATACGGAATTGAACTGAGATATTTAATCGCAAGATTGATAATTTTGAATTTATCAATGATAAATATAGACTTGTTGGAAATATCTTTTGGAGCCGAAAGTACAAACAGAAACTACCGGTTTAATTCCTACAGTACACAGCTGAAATAAATCCTACCAAATCATTCATGAAATAGCAACAAAGATAACCCAAATGCATACTTCATTTTATTCCGAAACAATTCCAAATCGTTTTAACTGTCTGAAGCTGTTCTGATGCTATAATTTAGAACACCTATCTAAAGGAAAAGCAATTTCATGGTAAATTAGATGTCTATTTTTCGAAGAATCATTATGAATTCGGCTGTCTAATGAAATCTTAAAATCAGCACTATTGTTAACAGCTGGCAAGTTTCTATTTACTTTCGATGGTGACGAATTGAATTTCAAAAAATGATTCTGCTGTAAATAACGACAAGACAAGACAAGATAGAATGTTAAAGGAGCTTTTACTGATACTTGCAGCACAATGCATGATTGAACTTACACCTAGACAAAAGTTTATCAAAAACAACAATAATTTTACCGATTTTTAACATTGAAAAAGCATTTACATTATATCTATGCGTTTCCAACTGTTTCAGAACACTATTTCATTGGAATATACATTCCTCCAATTTTTTAAAAATGTTTCTGTTTGTTATGGTCTCCTTTGGAACACGTTTGAATAGTTGCCTATTATGAAGTATTATTGATAAAAATCATAAATTGTTTCTAAATAAAAGTATAGGCAGCTATTGGTTTAGGTCTATTTAAGCATAACAGATGTTACTCAGTCAAATTTCTTGGCTTCACTTATACGAGATTGTAAAATTAAACGTCACACCAATATAACTCTTCTGAATGCCTTAAGTAAAACATAGATTATCTACCGAATCATATTGAGTAAGAATACTAGATTCTCAATATATTATTACAAACATATGTAATGTCTATCAGAATAGTTTAAGATGAACTCATATATGAAATATTCACATATAGATTATTGGATAATGATAAATTATATGTTTGAATAGATCTAGTTTTCGATATTTGAATACAACAAACAAGACTTTAAAATAAATTGCCAGTGTTCGTCAAGCGAAAGAGTGACTTGTTTGGAAACTTGATGAATGCGTAAATCAATATGTATGATAGGTGCATATGGGTTGTTGAATTGATGGAACGAGAGGTAAAATGATACTTACAATTTACAATTATATGTATCGTATTTATTATCTTTAGGAGAAAAAAAATTTATGTATTGAAGATGCATATCACAACAGAAGTACGTATGTTTTCAGTATAACAAGAGTAAAAGTTCTAAGAGCTCGGTAGTATACGATTTCGAAATATACGTTTTGCGAAATGATAGTTTCTTTAATGGTTTATCTTCTCTATGAGTATTATTCTAATTTGCATTATTTATCAGTATCGGTTTTTCTAAAATAAATTATTTCATGTCCTTTGAAAATATACGATTAATGTATAATAGTGAATATTTATTATTTCAATAGATTGGTCCCTCATGGATACGTACTAACGAGTTTCTTCTCTGCAGTATCATAAAATGAAACCGTCCTATACAATGAGTTAAATATTTATTATACTATAAAGTGTCAGGTGCCGATGAGCTGTACTACTGATAAATGCATTTGCTAGGAAATCAGGAAAACCATAATTTTGCCTGTCAATTATATGCACCTAGAAAAAAAGCATTGCACAAGTGATTAATTGTTTAAATATGCAATGTCGAGATAACTTGATAAAAATTAAAGTCGATGATTCTTTTAGATTTTCTACCATTGATCATGCTTTGCATAAGTTTCAAGATTTATTTTACTAATCGATCTCGCTGAAAATATAGCGATTGAATGAAAAATAAGGAAACACGAATGAGTTTTAACAAAATGTTGACTAAGCCATCTTTGATACTTCTGGTTATGTCAAATCTTCGTACAAGTATCAAATATCTATTGAATAAAAGTACGCAATTTGCCAAGGGGGAAACAGCAGACTCCATGACTCCATCTGACTCCGCTTGACTCCACTTGACTCCAAGAAGATGAAGTCTCTCATTTCCTTTTTGACAGTATGACTCAGTATCCGGAAGTTGAATTTCCATTACAGAATAAACAGTTCAGCTTTGGGAATTCTACTTCCGGGCACTGAGTAATATTGTTCTGTTATGGGAAGTGTTTTTGGGCAATTTCCGACAAAGAAGGAGACTAATAACTATTTTATATAATGATACATATGACAGAAAAATGTAAAAACGTATCAGTTTCCCATTTCTATAATGGTTTTCTCGAGATCAGCAGGGATTTTGCGATACTTACTGTGACTCCAAGAGACTCCGTGTGACTGTTAGGTAGTGGAGCTGTACTTGGTCCACTACCTTTCTTTTTCTTTTTTTTCTTTCTCTGTCTCTGTCTCTGTCTCTGTCTCTGTCTCTTTCTCTTCCTTTCCTTCTTTCTTTTTTTCTTCTTTTCTTTCGTTTTTTTCATCTTTCGTTCCTTTGTTTTCTTTTTTTCCTCATGGATACATCTCTATATATTCCTTTGTTTATGTTTGAAATAAACAGTTTATGTATTTTTTCACGTCTAGTCTAGATAGACTAACAGTGACTCCTCGTGTTTAGGTATGACTCCCTGGGGTCCTATGTGATTCTATGCAACCAGCTGGCTCCATGTGATTCCGGATGACTCCACTTGATTCCGTTTGACTCCACCTGACTCCGAGGAGTTGGAGTCTGCTGTTTGCCCTTTGCAATTTTCGCTATGCATAGAACCAATATTACAAAGAGAACGTTTAAAAAAATTAATCAGCACATAAAACAAATGATCATTTTTATTGTTATCTATCAGATTTCAGTACAGATTTAAACAACGAAAAACAAAACACTAGCCAAAGAGATAAAATAATATCTCTTACGATTGGAAAATGATAGCTGTCGAAATTGCTACTTGAATTTTCGCTTACCACGTTTATATGTTATTTACTAATGACTTTATAGTTAAGAATTTTTCTTTCTGGTACAACCTGAATAATGTATCAAAACTGAGAATTGCCTTACTTTTTATGAAGTTAATTGTTGTTGATTTTTATTCAGTTTATCCATTTCGGTACACCATGCGATTGTTATTCTTCATAAATTCATAGTGATGCCTATAGATAAAGCAAATATTTAGAATAAAAAACGAATCATTAAATAATCGTAATAGTAATGATAAAGAAATTCATTTAATTATATAATATTGAAGCTATTAGCACTGAATAAATTTTTCTAATATACTTCTCAATAACGATGTGCAATTTTTCTTACGTCAGCTGAAACCGTACTTGCTTAACCTTTGTCTATATTGTTCCGATTCTAATTGAAATATTTTTTGCAAAGTCTCTCTTTGAGAATATTTTTTTTATTACAATACAATTGATAAAACAAATAAAAAATTCACTAAACTATTTACCAGTTCAACTATCTACAGTACTGTGTGACCTTGTAACATTGGATTTACACGTGTTACTTTTCTTTGTCTCACTTAAATTAATTAAAGCAAGATACTCTCATTTTTTTAATCATTCTATTTGGAAATTTCACTCGAAACTGATTTTTTTTCATTGACTTAATGCAAAAAAAGTGTAGCATTAGTATTCAACAAGCTAAAACCGAAAAGTGGGTTAGAATTCGCTATGTCTGAATTATGTAACTCTGATACACGCGCTGTATTTTATACTTCGTTACACGTCATTTAAACTCTCTGCTTTTGCGTGGTTTTGTTTTTCTATTCTTTAAATGCATACGTCCCTGACAAACCACGTGGTTTCAATGTAACCATAGCATATACTTTTTCGACGAGGAAAAGATAGAAAAGGGTTGCTATGTTTGACTTGATATTGCGCATAGATGCAGCAACAAAATAAGCTTCACACTAAACAAAGTTGTAGTATGCGCAGTTCTCGTTCCTTCATTGAACGTAATCAATATACTATTATCAAAAGTTAACAATTGCAAACCAAGTTATTGATATCATCATGATAATCTCGAACGATTACCAATAAAAAAAAATTAGAAAAAAAAAGAGAAGAGAACAAAAAGTAACGCTTGATTGACTCCGCTAGTTGTGAAAATACGTTGCATACGATTTTTATTGATTATTGTTTGCTTCTTGGTTGTCATTGATTTAAACACGAACGTTCAGAAAGCGAGCAAATCATCATTGTATCTAGAAAAATGGTAAAACCACATTCAATAGGTACTGCCATAGTATGTACTCTAACAATTCTTACTGGTATTACTCTATTGATCACCGCATCCGTTTGCACCAGTGACATTCATTTTATTCGGGATGGATGGGATGAGATCTATTCATTATCAATTTATAGTATTGTCATTGGTGGCTTGGCTGCCATTCTTACTATTGGGTTTTTATATGTTGTGACTCGTCAATTTCCAGCACTAACAATACTCTTTTCTATTTTGATTCTTCTTATTTTGATTCTTGCCATTGTATGCATAGTTATGCTTGCAGTAGCTCTCGGTGATCTTAAAGAGGATTCATTTATATATATTGGCAGTCTTACGCTTAATTACGCAAATTCAAATACAAGTATCAGTTCGAAGAACCTATTGGGAACAATCCAGCAATCACTTAGATGTTGTGGTACCGTAGAAGCAGCTGATTGGGCAGCAATATATTCTGATGGAAAAAGTACTCCTGACACATGTTGTCAAGCAATGGCTCCAGGTTGTGGTAACTACTCTCTTAGTTTGAACAGTACAATATTTCTTCGTGGCTGCGCTAATTCACTATATTCGTATATTCGCGAAGATGTCATTGCAATTATTTTTCTCAATACTATTCTTGCAACATTAATAGCAATTAGTGCTATATTTGGATTTATTACTGAACGTTATATTCGACGTCAATATGAATTGATGTGAAAAATCCACATAGAACAACGATGGTGTTATGATGTACACTATTCAAACTCTATCAAGAGAACATTTTTGTTTTGTCTAGATTTTTTAACACTAACGTTCTATTTTTAATATTAGTTTAGATTCTACTAACAAACAAAAAAAAAGAAAAACTATGCGATTATATTTTTTGGTTAAAACCTGGAAAACATTCAGCTAAAAGCATAGAATCCTAATTCATACAACCATTCATTATTGAGTGAAATAAATTCAATATACTTTTTGATGTATTCAAAATAACTTGAATACTGTTGACAGTTGAATTACATATAAAAACTAATATAATATCTAAGTGTACTATCGAAACAGCTCGATCTACAATTTTCTATAAACAAAACTCATAGCTAGATATTTTTAGTTTATTTTTAACTTTTAGCTTTTGAAAATATACAGTATATCAGAAGAAAATGTTCGAGTTTATTTGTATGATAGTTGTTGATGACTTTTTTTTCACATATTTATCCGGAGTAGGATCTTTCAAAGAAAGTATTTAAAATTGAAATATTTCACTTCGGAAAAGAATTAAGTCATCGTTAACAAGTAAGCCCTTTTCATTGATGAAAACGTTTTTAGATTTATATTGAGACCAATCGGAACATTCAATGAATCAGTTTTTACCGAATACGTTTTAATTTTTCAAAATGAATTCTCACTCACGAAACAAAAATAATATATGATTCGTATTTGCCTTTAATTTTTATCATAAACAGTATTTCTAGGTTGATAGAGTTTAGATATTCTAAATTTGGCAAACTTGCTTTCAAGACAATTATTAATAGATCATCAAGAGTGTTTATTGAATTTACTTAAAATACAATTCATATTCTATTGTTTCGTTTTAAATGACAGCTAACACTATTCAATAGTTAATGCTACTGCAGATTTATTTAAAATTTATTACAACTAATATTTCCATTAAACATTGAAAAGTATTTCGATTGCATTGAGGCTGCATGATGTCTTTAAATCATTAAAGATTGAGCTAAATAAATCATGACACTCTTACAAGTAAAGGCAACATTTTATTTCATGTTTTTGTTTCTAACTTTTTTTTTATAGTTTCCAGTTCAACAAAATCAGCTTACATTATTTTTATGATTAAACTAAAAAGAAATAACACGCAATTTCGTTATAAAGATATTGCCTAGAGAAAAAACAAACAAAAGTTTTCAGCGTAAAATAAAATTATAAACGATATTCCAACAGCAAAAGACTAAAACTGATAATAATGAGTACGAATAGAAATACTGTGTTCTTCGGAAAATACTAGAAATTTACATTTTAAAAACTAAACTTCAATGTGTCGGCTAAAGATAAGTTGAATTAGAGATAATTAGATGACGATACTCCGTTTCTCAATTATCTTCGATTAAATTTTGAAAAAAAGAGACTCGAATTTAGAATCTCATAAGCTATCTTGAGAGACAAACCTGATTCTAATGCAGGCAATTACTGACAATCATAAATTCTACGTCTTCCTCTTTTTTCCGAGTATAACCAAACAAAAACATTATTCACTATTTTTAAATCTGAATATCCTTAATAATATCTAATCTTTTGATTATTTTTCAATAGTAGCTAACTGATAGTCGTTATGTTTAATAAAAGCAAATGTGCGACGTCCTTGACATTAATCCTTTACAAAAGAACATTTTTTTCAAACATTTTTCTTGCATAGAATATTCAATACACCGTAAAGTTAGCCAATGTTTGTATAACAGTATATCAGATGAATCAATGTTTTTAACAACACAAAACTTTTGATCTTAGTAACCTTTGTCTCTACGTTACCATTCATATATGAATATCTATTCCTTGTAGAAATCATCAGAGAGTTGTTTGTACCAATTGGCTGTTCTTCGCTATAATAATGACCATTGTGCGATATTGTATGTAAAATTAAAAGAATTCCCATGCAAGAAAACTTAAGAAAAACTAGCGTTTGATTCTCCGATGACATATAATTTTTTGTTGAAGAAAATAGATGAACTCTGATGATAAACATCAAAATAATGCAAAGAAAAATTTCATTAATAGATAAGAAATAGATTAAATAAATATTTGAGAGGAAAATGCAAAGCAGAACATTAGAAAGGATGACGCTTGATACACTTTTAATTATTTATCCTCTAAGAACATCGTATAAAATGCTGTACGTAATAGAATGAACTATTTCGAAGAAATAGACTGTGAGGTGTTTGACTCGATTTTTATCTTTTCTTTAACACCAATATAAAAATCTTTTTTATCTTTGAAACAAAAACAGAGAGAGAGAGAGAGAGAAATACATTAATAATAACGCTAATCGTAATAAATAAAAATACTGATGCTTTCATAGTATTGAAGAAAAACAATTTAAATATTTTTGTTTTTCTATAAAAACTACGATGTTTATTATTACAGAACTATGAAATTATATATTATAATATATTAGGAAAAATCATATCTAATTCTTTTGTTCTAAATCTACGCCATCATAATATTGCTTATGCATTATAAATAATTCAGCTAAACAACGAAATAGACACGAAAATGTTACAACATTTTAAAAATCTTTCATGTCTTGGCCTGAAATTGTTTGAAGTTGATAGCTTTTGAATACGAATAAAACAGTTACTAAATTGGCAATGAACCGAAAGACAAATTATATTCATTTGAGTTCGAACAAAAGTAGAGAATGCGTTTCAGGAGATGGCGAATGACTAATGCGAATCAATGCATGTTTCATCTTTTTTTCATATATTAGAAACAAATATTTAACTTTCACCAAGATCACATTGAACAATAATGGTCAAGTCAAAACTTATCGATATTTTAATTCATGTTAAGACGACTCGATTGAATATAAATTACTCTATAGTCTCTTTTTTGCTAGTGTATATTTTTCTTAAACTCAGATTAATTTAAGAATCCCTAACGCTACTCGTAAAGATAGAAAGCACTTAATGTGATTTCATGTAGAATAAAGATGTTTTTTTGTTAAAAGATATTTAAAAAAATGAGCAGCAATGCCAGACGATGAACAACTTTGTATTAATGTATTTTCTAGCTTTCAAGACACGAATGTGCTTCGATTGTACAATGATTAGACATGAACAAATATTAGAATAAATTAGGCATAAGACAACACTAATTGAAGGAACTCGTATTTGAATTTAAGCTTCGTTTCATTTTTTTGATTGATATCATTGAATGATTATATTAATTAAATTTTTTAAATGTCTTAGAGTTCGATTGTAAATAAAATGCGTACGTAAGTCATAATTAAAAATGTAATAAGATAGTAAATATTTCAAAATAAATATTCACTATTCTATCTTCATAAATTTCTATTTGAATTAGAATAGAAAACAGTTTTATGACATAAATGTAATATTAATATTGAAAACAATGTTCGTAAAGTGAAAGAAAATGCTTTCTCTCGGAACAGATTTACGTTAAAATGTAACACTATTTAGAATTTCTGGAGAACTATTTTGTTTCATTAGAAGAATTAATTATAGATTCTCAGATGATTGAATTTATTATTTGTGTTAAATAAAATATTACTCAATATTGTAGGGATAGAGAATAAGAATGATTTTTATTGATTAATTTTTGAAGAGCGCACACAATATTGATTTCCACAACAAAAATGCATTAACTTTTCAAGCTTAAAACTTTATGAGGTCAGAGGATAATTATTTTATATAGGTTTTGATGTTTTGTCTTTTCATAATCGCCAATTTCGTTTATCAACACTTGAGTCAGCATCTTGAGCATCATCATTCATGAAACGATAATCATTGTTTGGATCATAATGATGTGCATTAGCTGCGTCACGAAAAACGAAGCGACCACGTTTGTCCAATGGTTGAAAATGTTGAGCTGACAGCCAGGCACCGTTCGATATTTTCCTGGCTTTCGGATAATATTGATCATCAGCCATGACAACAGATGATGAAACCATGAGTAAGAAAACAGCAACCGAGCATAAGAAGAAGATGACACGTGAATTCATTATGTTATTTTCCGATAATATATGCGCAGTGATGGTAATGTAGATTATATATATGTGAATATATTTTATAGGATTTTATCTGAAAATATTGTAGCGAATAGATAACAAGCAGATAAGAAGAGTCATAAAGATAGCGAGATAGAGAGAAAATAGCTAAATAGCATGTTACACCTCGCTATTTCCATTTTAGTGGCGGAAAGTTTATTTAGACGATTATCTATGCTTTGCATGTGATCCCCTCGTGAACAGACACCTTTTATGCAGAGAAACTAATAGTTGCGAGCATAAACTAATGAGATGAGCGAAATACACTAAGGAAAAGAAGACATGTTTCGAAGTAAAAACAACGAGACAATGAAATAATATCTTCTCAAGTCTGCTCTGTAGCATGTGAGGTGCTGAAAATAACTATTTCCAAAGAGAAAAAAAAGCACCGGTATCATGATATGAAGAAGTAAAAGACAAACAGTGTACTGATATACATGGCCTATATCAATAGCGAGCATGAACGCTTAGAATGAGAGAAAGAAATCTTCTGTTGAAACATATTTCCGAGAAGAAGAAAAAAAGACGCTGTTTGTTACAATTTCTAGTGTGAAAAGAAATTGGTTAATATTCTACTCAGTACTAAAATATTATGGTGAATTTATATTTCTTTTCAGTCATTAAAAGACTGAAACGCTTCAAACAAATCCAAATCTTACGTATACCCAAAGGTTATTCTATCTTATAATAGCTGAATTGTATGTTTACTATTGAAATTTCGACGGCATTTTTCTCCCGCATAATTAAAATGTGTGCAATCGTACGTATTCTTACTTCATGTTGCTTAATCTTCTCTTTGTTTTTTTTTATACCGTTTAATGATATTTCTATGTAGTTTATAAATGTCAAATCAGCAATTTTTTTGTGCGGATTGCTCGTTAAATAACAATCATCGTAAAAAAAATAACTAATACGATACGAGAAAAGTTTTAGAAATGAAACTCAAGGATTTTTTAACTAGTCTTTGAATCACAATATTATTATAGAAAGTTTCGAGGAATTATTATTGAAAAAGACTAAAAACTGTATGATTGATAGACTTTTTTTAAAGTACTGATTAATAAATATAAACCTATACTCAATAAAGATTGAATAAATATATGAATCCATTCTTATAGCTCTCATAAAAGTGTTTTCATCTTACCGAACCAGTTTAAAATGTGTAGATAGTCACTAGTTCTATCTATTTCAGATATTCAATCGATCACCGTGAAAATGTGACTTTTAATGTACTAGTCGATTGACTAACGGCACCCAAATGATGTAGATAGCAACAATACAAGAATTGAAATAGTGAATGACGTACCTTCTCTTGTTATTCTCTTTGTGCGACTACTTCTCTTATTTATTTGTTGGCACTTTTTTTTTCATTTGTCTTATTTTTTCTTTTTCTTATTTTTTCTTTTATCTTCTATTCTATTATACTAACACAAAATAAGAACAGAACAATGCAGGCTGTGCAACTCCCAACCGGAAACTGGGAATTAGAGGAATCATTAACATCAATTAGTCAGTCGGAGTTCACTATTGTGATCGGTTATTGATGATGAAAATAGAACGACAACTATTGTTTGTTGAGTTATGCATAAATAAAGCTCACATTTTTTACCTGTTATTAATAATCTTGATCAATTCGTCTTACAACTACTTCGTTTCGACTCGGCCAAAGAATATTTGAAACTAGCTTGATTTTCCCTTAATCATATTCATAAACTATTCACGCTTTTTATTATTAAATAATAAAAGAATGGTCAGGTCACTAAACATGAGACAAACAATACTTGAAAAATTACATAATAAATATTGAACAAGAGATTCTTGCTTTTTTTCTGAAAAACATATCCGTAGACTATGAACTATTAACTATCAACATAAATTATCGATCAAATATGTATCATTCGAAAACAGTAGAATAATGATTGATTCAAGTTTATTTGCTTGAGAACTGGACATGGTGAGATCAGTCAAACGACTTAAATATTTGTTGAGCTCAAATTTTACAAACGCAATACATTTCATGTTAGAAATATTCGCGGAAATTAGAATTTTTTAAAATATTTAATCAGATTTTGTTGCTACTTATAAATGTTGTATTCCATTGTCCTTAATCATCAGCTTCGATGACTGACGTCAGACTTTTTCCTATAGCTGTAATATACTGAAAAGATACGTATTCATTTTTTTTCAACAAATTATGTCTATAATTTATTTCATAGTCTATAAACAAAAAGAAAAAAAGAAACAAGACCAATTGCGTGACTATTAATTTTCTTTTTTCCCGTACGATTTTCAGATAAGTCTTGTAAGATTCAAAAAAATCTAATTTCTAAATTATTATTCAAATATCATTTATTTGCATGAATAATTATTAGTTTAATGTTTTAAGCATTCTTATAGTATATTTCAGAAATAATTCTTTTTCGATAAGTATCCTAAGATCCAATTGACAGATGAGAAAAACGTATTTTGCACAAGTATTTCATGAGTAAAATGTTAATAGAAAAAGAAAGTCCTTGTAATTTTCATTTACTCTCATTTTAATAGTTAAGTGAGGATTCTCTTTCTATAGAAATCGATTAACTTCAAAGAACAATGATATAAGCACAAAAAAGCAATTCATTTATTTTCTGATTATATTGAGAATATTTTTCCATTGTTTAACAAATTTCCGTTACCCTAGGATGATCTTCTTTATGATTTTTACGTAACGTTGCTCAAACACTTTACATTATTAAATCATGTAAGAGATTTAAAATTGATGGTAAAAATATCAAATTCATAAGTTCTGCGTATTCTACGGATTCTTAAAATAAACACTTGACATTAGAATGATGAAACTAATAAACATATGGATCTATTTGAAATTTATTGATCGAAATGGGCATATTCATTAATTTCAGCGCACAACCTTGATTTATAAATCAAATGTACTGCATTTACTTAATTGAAATATCAATTGTAATCAATGGCTTTCGAAAGTATCGATTTTTCTATAGTACGATATGATTCTTTTGTCGTACTTTTAGTTTTTATTATAAAATTCACGAAAGTCATGATTTTTATTTATTTTCAAGTTCATAGAATGATTCTACCAAAAATGTGTTCTTATATAATTCTTTTGTCAACATTGAATCTGTTGATATAAGCTAATCAAGTAAATCGATTCAAACTCGATTTGAAGTTTTACGCTTTGTTCAATTAATCGACAATGTCGATTCGACATTGGTTACCTAATATTGAATTTAAATTTTATTTTTTCTCTATTATTTTGATTAATATTTTTGTTTGTCTACGTTGAAAATAGTGTTCTTTGGATGAATAGATTATTTTATCAATGATAAGTTCACTTGACAGAAAGTTACACATATTCCAATGTACTTAATTAATGAGAATATCCAGATCAATTATAGAAATTTAAATAAAACTATTACAAAAGCATTATTAAGGTAATTGTGGATTCTTTCAAATATCAACTAGTAATTTAATATGAAGAATCATCTACTAAATAGTTTTCAAAAAGATTATTCAATATATGTTTGATGTAATCAAGACACGGAAATATCATTTCAAATCGTACAACATATGTCACAAATGACCAGCAAACCTCGATGCTGATCAGTAAATCTTAGTGAATCTTATTTTTTGATTTTGGCCGAAATTTATTTATGCGAAGCAAAAATATCATACTATTTAATGAGTACTATAAAAGCCTGCTGTCTCCAAATTGCGTGGCTTTCAGAAATTTATGAGAAATTATGGAAAATGTTTTGTGCTTTTGATGGTAGCTTCTATATTTCTTTTGGTTAATAAATTCATGTATCCATCTCAATGTTAAAACATAATAAATGTTTGCAAAGTATTGCCAAACTTTATTGTACGATACTTCTCGATTGACATTCTCATTCAATTACGACGATATCAAAAAATGCCGTTAATAATAAACGTAGGTAGTCAACTATTTGAGTAGAAAAGTAGATAAAAATTCATAAGAAATGATCTGTTAAAATTCTGTTTAGTGTCGATTTTAACTTGACTCTAACAAAAATGATTGAAATATTTTCAGGGGTTTAAAATACCTAATGGTTCTCAGTCCTTCAGTTTACTATGCTGTGTAACAAAGAAACGAAAGATTGGTAAGTTTTGCTTTTGTTTTTTTATTATCTATCTACAATAATACAATTGAACTTATATTTCTACATGGATAAGATGCACAAATTCTATGTGACAAAAGTATTGAACAATTAAGATAAAGAACAAAAATATCTGACATATAGGAACATAATAACGAAGAAAAAAAGAATAGGAAAAATATTTATAACCATTGACCAGTAAGAGATCTTTCGAGAAGAATATCATCTTGACCATCATCGGAAGGTGTACGTAAAGTTATTGTACATGAAAATTTCATACCACGTTGTTTTATCGTTGGTAAAAATGCAATTGATAAAGGCATTTGAGAATGTGGGCTAATCGAAAAAAGTTTTAGATATTTATTAAACATAAAATAAAAATCACACTTACGGTAAATTCATAACACGTGCTTTGCATTGAAATGGTTCAGTAACACCACTGATGCGTACCTAAAAAACGAATTTAAATAGCTAATGTTTCAATAGAATTCTTCATACCATTTTAAATTGTCCGTATCGATTTTGCACCGTAAAGTGTTTCTTTTCAGCTTTTTTCGTATAATTAAGACCTTCTTCGACAACGTAAAAGTCAGGTAATGGTGGAGGTGTAGGACTATATTATTCATATGAAAAACTAATTATCACGTCTATAAAACTAAAAGAAAATCTTACGCTCGATTTGATTCCGCTTCAATAGTTGTTTCTCCTTCGGTATTCGTTTCATCCACAGGCTAAATGAAATTGAAAAAAACCTCCACTTTAATAAAAAAAAAAAGAATAGGGAACAAACAATGTTACCATTTGAGATATATCGTCCATTGGCTTATTTTCATCATTAATATCATTTTCGTCAATCATAGATTTATTATTATTATTTTTATTTTTATATCTAATTGAATTTGAATAGAAAAATAAATGATTTAAAATGCAAAGTTAAACATACAAATGACGTGTTCGTGGACTTTTTTGTATTGAAACAGAAAGTGATTTACGACCTTGTTGAACATAAAATGAAGCCGAAAGTCCAGCTAATTGTAATTGAGCAGCTGCTGCTTGACGACGAGCGAGTGTTGTATCAAGAAGTGTATTATTATTATTAACTGCAGCAGGCATTGTTAAACTTGTTCGAGATTGTTCAGGAGATTCTTGTAAACATAAAATGGATGCTAGTCTATCTGTCATTTCTTGACTCCATAGATGAGCTCTTTCAAGCATTTTTTCAGTTTTTTTTGATGTCTAATTGATTAAAAAGTTTTTTTTTTCATAGATGAGAAGAAGAAAAAATAAAGATATTTACAGCGGCAACTGAACCACTTGCAATTAATTCATCCATACGTTGTTGAAGATTACTCGACATTTCAGCACATTTATCGATGATGTTTTGTTCACATCTATTGTATATTATTATAAATTTTTATTACTCATTAAATCGAAAAAAAAAATACCTATGTTCTTCTAGTTTCTTTTCTTCATATTTCTTAATTAATTCAATATTCGTATTTTTAGCAATAACCAATTGAGCCAAAGTATTTTCTAGGTAATGAAAACAAATTTACAATATCAGAGTTAAATTAGATTTTTAAACAGAATATACATTCTGATAATATTCAATTGCTACGGTTCAATCAACTTTTCAGATAACTTCTATTCGTAATCGAAGCGTTTTTTACTAGGCGAATTTACATGACTCGTACATAATAGTATCGCTGCATAGTTTATTCAGAAATAAATCTTCAAAATTGTTGTGATTGATTTGTCTACAATTTACACTCGTTTTACTAGTTCTGCTTATGTTTGAATGAGCACTGAACTAGAAAAAGATTTGAGTTTAGTTATAACATATTTCAAAATATACAAAAGTGAGAAGAAATAATCTCATTCAAATATATAAAGATCTAGTGTATGGCTTTTAGAGGCGATTTCGAGAAAATCACCATTCTATGATTAACAGTAGCAGCTTTATCATATTTTACATTAAATTCCAGCTGAAACTACACTGATGTCCATCCCACCGTTTTTTCAGTAAAGGTAATATAAAAATCTTATTTCATTCAAAGCAAGCCATCTTATTCAGTAAAATTTATTTTAAATAATGTGCGATCTATTAACTAATAGAATATCTATATGGATTGTTCATAGTTTTGTTTTCATCTAACCAGAAAAAAGCGTAAGGAATTCAATGATGTATAAACTTACGTCGACGTCGTTTAAGTGCTGCATTAACAACCATATTTATAATGTGCTGATATTTAAAAAAAATAGCTTTAAAAGATATCTGAAACAAAAAATATAATCGATTAAAATATTTTATTTTCAAAATTTACAACAATAAAATTCCTTCACAAAAATAATTATTAATAGATAGATTAAAATGAAACATTTCTCCAAATAAAACTCGATTGGAACTGTTTGGCAAAACTCTGTCAGAGAACTGTTCATTCGTATAAATAATATAAATATTGCACACAACAAAAAAGAAAAGGTTTCGAAAATAGAATAATTATAGATTGACCCCAATAAAAAGAACAGTTTCTTTTTTAATTCGTAATTAAATCATCTACATGGTCAGTTCCAAAAGCAATTGGTTGATGAAGTTGATCAATAGATCCATAATTTCCTTGTTGTAATCGTTCTCGTGTTGAACTACGTCGAATTTCTGTTGTACTCGGTGATGTTTCAAACTCTTCAATACATGCATTTAATATCGTTGGTATATAATCCTATGAAATGAATCAATTTATAGCGTTTTTCTACAAAAGAACTAAATCTTTTTTTACCGATGTGGTTCGTGGTTTTGTCTCACCATCTTCCGTTTCTTCTAATTCACCTAAATTATCCAATTGCTGACGAATACTCAACGTCTATAATAAATAAAATATAAATGTTCAAAATTTGTAATTATATTAATAATTCAATCAACAAAAAAAAACAAGAAAAGAAATTCCAAAGCCCAAATTATTTTGCTAATGATACACATCATTATCTTACACTGTTAGTTCTTTCATTAAACAAATTATAGCGTATTGCACAGGGAAGAAAATAAATGCTGACCTCAGGTAATCTTCCTCTTGTAAATGAATATTCTCTTGAAGTCCATCGATGACAGCAATCAAAACACGTGATAGCAATGTAAATTCCACCTAAATATATTATTTATTTCGTCTATGTAAAGTGTATGAAGAAACGAAATGCTTACTTGTCAGAAAAAAGCTTCCTAATAATACAATCGATAAATACGTCAATGATTCTAGAATATTTAAGCAAGAATAGAACAAAACAAAAGCTAACTTTTTTGTCAATAAAACAAACCCGAACGAAGAAGAACAAAAAATAATAATGTTAATTGTTGAATAATTAATGCGACAATAATGAAACTTCCTGCTAAACGATGAACACTTTTATCAGCTATTTCTGTATCATAAACGAATACCAAATTGTATTTATCCACGGCACGTTTTATTAACAAATAAATTAAACCTATTTATTAATTAAATTATTTAATTACTATTATCGAAATGAAAAATCCTTACCAATGGGCGTTATTAATGGACAAATTATAGAATAAGCAAGTATGACACTGAATACAGCTCCTGTCCAAGCATATTGTACACCAAAGCGAAATGGAAATTGTAATGCCTAAAATAAATATATCATATTAACTCTCTGATCTAAAAAATTTCAATCGTTCTTTTTGTAATTTTCCAGCAATAATTTGTAGACTTTCAATATTCACACTATTATGTCAGTATAATAGAAAAGCTATTCGTGATCATCGAACAAATTTATTAAATATTCAGATTCAAAAACTTCTACAGTATATTTTACATGCAAGGACTTCTTATTTTGATTTTTCTGCTGATACACAATTGAACGTAAGTTTTTTAATTCTTAACTAGAAAAATTAACATTATATAAACTCTTGATACCAGAGTATAAGATTTAAAACATTTAGAATATTGCTAAGGATTGTTATTTCTCTGAAAGAAACCTTGAATACATATTTCTAATTCTAGACTATTCAGTCTAGGATTTAAGCATGAAAACTACAAATTCACTATTTCAACTTAATGATTAAAACTATAAGTACAATAATAAAATTAATATGAGATTATTAGTGTATGAATAATAGGTAATTTCTATGAATTATATTTCCTCTGAGATAATATACCTTGGGGCACTCAAAATATTAGAGAAAAATAAAGCAAGGCACTTATCTTATGCTAATTTCAATGAATATGAGCTTTCTCACTAAAAGATACACGAGTTGCAATAAACTATATTGAACGAAGATCTGAACTAAAAGTGTTACACGAAATTATGTTGCCATATATTTCAGAATCAACAAAAACTTTCCAATATAGAAAGTAGATCATAAAGAATCAGAGTCTGAATACGTTCTCAATATATTTTTTGGTTCCATAGATTTGAATCATATTTTTGTTTACAAAATTCTGCTTTTTATACTCGAAAAAAATTACGAAGATCATAGTGGAAATAGGTAACATTAACGAATTTCAAGCGAAAACTACGATGTGTTTTCTTGAAGTTTGAAAATTTTTATCTTAGTAAAAAGCTTGTTTAAAAACTTTTCATATCACCGTCTTATTGCAAGAAACTAATGTTATTTGTTCCGAGTAGAAAAACGTCGCCTTCAAAGTTGGAATACCAAACACTTATTTTCTGCAATAACGATTCGTTAAGAAAAGTTCTAAACAAGCTATTTAGTAAGATAAATATTTTGTGGTTCTACACAATTCAAAGTTTCGTTTATCCGTATAGCTCACTATGAAAACAAATAAAATTAAAAGAGAATTCTATTCCGTCTTTCGACGTCTTGACAGTATCATTGTATATATAGATATATATGGTTAGTGTCGCCCATATAAATTCTCTACTTTTATGCATCTACAAACCATTTGTGTATAATTTACTACAGAATTAGAAGCTCAAGTTTTGAAAGAAAAGCTCGATCCAAATCTATGGAAACTATAGAAGACACTGAGATAATGCTTATGTCTCCATTCTTCATGTCCAAATCGTTACAACGGTCCTTCAATTTCATCATAATATAATTTTATTCTGAACAAAAAATAAATGGTGTCTTACATGTCGAATAACTTGCCGTTCAGCTATTGACTTAGATGTTGCAACAATATAAAGATAAGAAACCAAATCACCTAGACGCAATAAGTCAATAGCAGCTCCAATAAATGCCGATGTTATCACATAATTTACAAAAAAAGCTCCATTATCCGGTAAAAACACACACCTTTAAATAATAATTAAAAATCAATCAAAAATATTTTATTAATTAGATTAAACATACATCCAACGAATTTTTCCATTATGTGAAATATCATCATCACTTTGTAACACCCAACGAAGGAATCCTTCAATACTGGTTAAACCTAATGATGGCAAGATAAGTATCATCATAAGAAGAAAGATAAATAATTTGATCATCATTGATTTATCTAATGTAGATTTTTTCCATCGTTTTTCAAGTAAGGATGTCACACTAACAAGTGCCGGCATTACAGCAGCAAAGATACGTAGTAATAATGCAGGCATTACAGATGTTAATAGAACTGGAAAATGGATTAGTTTTGTCACTTTTTCTATTGCATCAATTGAACGATATTTATTTATAATCTTATCAATTGTACTCATAACAATTGATGGTGTCGTTAAAAATATCATAAAGAATACTAGAATCTAAACATAATACTCGTGCAAACTCAAAATATCTATATCGATATATCCCATACATACCAGATTAACAATGATAATACGAAACCAATGACTAGCTTCACTAGTTGGAATATTTTTCCTAAACAGAAAAGGTGAAAATCAAAAATGTAATTTATATTCAATGTACACTGTAAATATATTGGTTATACTGATCGCCTTCATCGTGATTCTATTCTCAATATGATCAATTTTGAGGGTGTGGATGTGGTGTGCGCACTATGATAACTCCACCATCCATGTACACGTACATTCACACTCTCAGAATACGAAGTTGACTGATTTTGCACGTAAACTAGAAACTATCGAATTCAAAATATTTCTAATGAAATGTTTGCGGAACCACACAATCCGTTTCGTTTTCTACACTAAAAACAAAGCAATATCTGCAAAAGGATATTGCTCTATTGAAAATCCTGATCTCGTTATTAGCGAATGTTTTAGTGAAAATGAACAGATCTGATTTCGCTCATTGAAACGCATCTAACATATTCGTTTAACAAAGATATTAAATCGATAGTTGTTTGAACTTATATCGAATGAAAAATCTAAGAAAAAAATTGGATAGGCCTAAAAATTTCGTTCCTATGTAACTGTTCGGAGCTCGAACAAAATTTCTTGGATTGGTCGCAACAAAAAACGATGAATATTTTATAACCTATTCAATACATTCTGAAAACTACAATTCATAAAACTGGAAAGAAAAAAATTATTTACCAAATAATATTTTTGGGACTTGGTGCAAATTTTACTGTCCATCTTTGAATCCCAAGCCTCTTACTGGTTGATGTTAACGGTCGACGATTTCGTGCAAAACATTTCGATCGAAAATCTGTAGAAATTCTACAAAAAATTAACTCATGGATACATAGTCATAAAATAGCCAACAAAACAAACTTATGCGCTTGCTCCACTGTCGAAAATGTAATAAAAGCTAATCCACACTTTTTCTCTTTGACCAGTGCAAATTCGTTTTCTACACGCTGTTTATAAAGAGTATATAATTTTTCATAAAATTCCATTGCATCAATCTAATATGGATAAATAATTCAAAGATTAGGTGTTTTTTATGTAGAACAAACCTCTTTAGAACAACACTATAAAACAAAGCGAAAAGAAAATAATACAAAAAAATCTTTTATAAACCATAATAACTTACACGACATATTTTTCCAAGTTTGTTATTATAAACAATGGAACGTTTTCCTGTTTGTTCATAAATATTTTTACTTTCTTGCCAAATACGAAAATAAAATTCGCTAATAATTAAAAATAAAAACAATTTACAAGACAACAAATAATTCAATAATGCAACAAACCGGCGTTTATAAAAATGTTGTAATTGACTTATATTATAGACCAATGTTAAATGTGTTATTTCTATTGTCGAATATGCTTCCCTATTAATATGTAGATAATTAACATACGAACTTGATCTCTTGTCAACTTACTGAAAATATGTTCTAAGTTGGTCTTCATTACATACATTTTGCGGAATTCCACGAATCATTAATGTTCTAGATGCCTTAATAGACAAACAATCCCAATGAGAACTCGATAAGAGCTAATGAAGACAACAACATGAACAGTCTTAAATTCAGAGCAAGGTTAAAAAACCGTGCGTTTCCAGAAATTTGAGTTTATCTTCTTCGCGATAACGAATGAGAACAATACTGAATTCAATTTTTATCACATCAGATCATCTGCTCGAACAATACAACATTGAGTAGCAACTACAAATACAACATCAAACTCTACTTTCTCTTTTGATTGTTCATCTTCGTACTAATGATTTTAAACTAATATGAAAAATTTTAGTTGAAAAATTTTAATTGATACATACCACATCTTCTTTGGCATAATAACGTGTAGTATTTTTATATAAATAAGCAACAATAATACCAATTAATACAAATAATATCGATGTACATGCATGAACCCAGAGTAACGAGGAACTTAAATATTAAAATGTTCTTCTTAACATTCACTCCAAGACAGGAAAAAAGAAAATTACTTAGGTGATAAATTTCCAATAGTCGTCAGAGCAAATTTTTCTTCACTGGTTTCTAGAAGTAAAATATAGTTGATCTTTATTTATTTATTTTTGACGTCTGAAACCTTGTGTTCCTTGAATATTAACTGGTAGAATAACTACTAATGAAAATATTGTCACGAATAGTAAATAAAAGATTAAATATGTATGAAATAAGAGATAATAATATGCATCTACTGAAACATGTCGATAAATATCTGAATCACTAAATAATAAAATAACATTGGAATCAATTAAAATCAAGCTGTAATCTCATAAATACGTCATTCTGAATAAATCTCGAACCCATAACCAGTGTGTCTAAATTATATAAAGAAAACTTTTGTAATTTAAAATAAAAAATTCATTTCAATCAAAAAATATGAAAACTGATCGGCAAGTTAATATAAAATCTATTCATTTTTCTTTTACCATACAATACCGATGTAAGTACGATTCTTGGGCCTAAGTAATATAAATAAAGATATGCATAACTTCAAGCAACTGTACAAAATATTTATGTATGTGGACGGTTCATACAATAATTGAACTAAAAGATTATAACATTCAACTTACACGTTGAATGAGATGTCGTGATGAATTACTTTGTCCATAGAGTAAATTCGATATTCTAAAAACCGAACAATTATCATTATGAAAAACTTCTTAAACGAAAAGACGATCGTCTTACTCTGTTCCGTCGACAATGTTTTTCGCATCAGAAAAACGACGTCGTAGATACGCAAAAAGAAGTACGAGAATCTAAATAATAAAATTCTCTTTAATTTTGTGGATATTTTTTGCATATAATATTCTGTACTAGTGAAACAATGAGATTAACCAGAAAATTTTCTGGAATTCCTTCATACGATCGAATAATGCCGAAACCAGTTGAATTTAGTCGACCATAATATGAACAGTTATCAGTCGTTACGTTTGAAAATTGACCATTAATCCATGATGATCTCGTCATTCGTATTGATATACTAGTTAAAACATTCATCTGTCGTATTCGATTCAGACTTTAATGAAAATAATCAATGAAATTATAGTTACATTGATATTATACTAGTTTGAATCATCAGATGAAAAAACATCTAAAATACAACGTTGGTTCGCTTGCACTCTTTAAATTAAAAGACTAGACAAAATAATCCCTTTTTATTCTTGAATACTTTTTAGTAAACAATAATAACATAAAAGGTGACGGAAGTGATTTAATTTAAAGAAAAAGACATTGACAAAGAGATCTGTCTTTGTTCTGCAAAGCTCTTCCCAGAACAAAGAGATCAACTTTCAATTGGATAAAATTCGTCTTTCTTCTACCACATATTTTAGCACGCTGCTTGTGATGTCGCTAGTGTACGATGCTTCCTTGTGTAGAATGTTTTTGCATCTTGAGATATGATTAAGTCATATTATCGTTTTATTGATGAATTGAAACGATAATTTTCTTTTTTTCTCTTTCAGTAATTTAGAGATTATTCTTATTTTCTTTTTGTTTCATATCATTTCATTTCCATTCAAAGACGCAGACCGTTTACTTTTCTAGGAATGCCAAAATTGATTACATATTTGAAGTTTATCAAACAGAGGAGAACACCACCAGTATATTGATTCTGATGGCTTGTATGGTATTCATATACATTTTAAGTATTGATAAAAGTAATCGACTCTATAAATTCATTTGTTGACTGAAATTTTGTGTAGAAAGCTGATACAAAAATTAGTCATCAAATCGAATTTAGATTTATCTATCTAATGTGAATTTAATTGTGAGTTATTTTTCCACATTACTATAATATACCATGTCAATATGCTTGTTCAGACAAGCAAAGAAAAAGAAATACAAGGATCTGATCAATGAATTTATCTTGTTTAAATATAATAATTTGTTTTTCTTCTTCAACTGAATGTTCCTTAACATCAATTGAAAAACATTGTGCAATGAACATATTTTATATGTGAGTGTTTTAAGATGCGGGTTTAGCGGTTAAAAAAGCATCAGATTCAACATTACACATGTTGACACCACGAGCAATTCTAACATAACTATTTTCTCCCCATTCATCACCCCATGAACTGCGAAGTTTCCAATAAACTAACTTCTAAACTGAATCATAACCATACTCCTCAATAACCATTGCATGATTGTTATTATTTGCTGATGTTGTACATCCAGATGCTTGAAAAATATCATCTGTATAACTTTGAAATGTAGTCATAATTTTGTTTGCAGCGTTTGGTTCAACTAGACAAGATGATGTTGTACGACCAGAACAATCTGAACCGACATAGAGGCATCCATAAAGGACTATAATTAACAAGTGTATCTTGCATAGCTGATGCATTTCCTTGTGTTAAATGACGATAAATTAAATTACCAATAGAGTATCCTCCTGATTTTTTAGCTGAACAAGTAGAGGCAACACCTTTATACGGATAAGTTAAATTACTATCTATATACCAGTCATAACTTTTTACATAATCAAATGATGTATCAAAATAACCACCAATACATCCGTAATCATGTGTTGAACAATCAACTATTTGTTGATCACTCATATTTACTGGTAGCCCATAATGAAATGCATATTGAGCTTCAAATAAAGCAATTATAGCAAAGCCATAACAACTTCCACATTGTCCTTGATCTCTGAGTGGTCCTATAATATGTGTACTGCTATTTAATGCTGAAACTCGTGTTGTATAATCAAATGTAGTCGATGTTGTTGATGTTGGTGCATTCGTCCTTTTACTGGATGAACTCGTTTGTTGCGTCCCAAAAGAATGCATCGCGATAAGTTTAGTGCGTGCAGTAGATGATGGTGGACGATTACTACGAAGAACCTCTAATTCGTATGGAGCCCAATCAGAAAACTTATTAATACCAACTGTAAATGTAGGACTAGTTTGAAGATTATTTGTAACTACATCTGTAAATCTTTCTCGGAAGATCTGATAATGTGTTGTTTCATTCCCTGGTGCAGGATATTGACGAGGATGATGATGTCGAAATGATTGAAACATCGTACAAAAAAATGTTTCATTTAAAACTAATTCATGCTGTTGGGTACATTAAGTATGTAACTATCAAGAACTCTCTGTGTTCGGTCTTGTCTTGCTATTATTGGACATGGAATGACAACAAAGAGACAGATGCAAAGTATAAACTGTTGCATTGTACCTACTAAAAACTGTAGCTTGATAAAAAGATACATATGTCACTTCTTGTATGTATATATATATGACTGACGCTCGAAAATCAAACGTACTATAAGGACCGCTAAGTAATAATATTAATATTTCCAATAGTAGCACCATATTTATAATTTATTTTGTTTGTATTATTAATAAAACGTACATATTTTTTGACTTTTGAAGTTTATAAGACAAAACTATATTAATCTACTGACACACGCTGTTAGAAAAAGAAACAACACCATATAATATAGAAAACATAATTTTTCCTTATCTAGCTATATCTCAGATCACTTCGTTCGATGTAATCGTTATTGGGTGGCTTGATAAAATGACTACGAAAGTGAAATAGATTTTGGATATTTTTAATTGAATGAAAAAGAAAAAGAAACTGATACACAATAGCAACGATTGAGTTAAAAGATCATGCTGGTCTGATGTACATTAAACGAAATTCAAGTATATAAACACAACTTGAATCAAATATTCATCTTTATGTCGCTACTATAGATATAACTAAACATAAAATTTACAAATTACATGAAGAATTGCTGTATTTCTTCAATAATTTCAACAAAATATTATTGGTGATTTTTACAAATCTTTTATTACTTCTTAATTATGACATGTTTAATAATGTATCAATTGATTCATTTTCGCTTATTCCTAAAGCTTTCTGAAAAAATATTCAGTTGCAAGAGACTCACTATAATTGTAGTTCTTTGTGAATATATAAATCATAAAGCGAAGACTCTCATCGAAATTAAAAACCACTGTTTTTGTGAATGATCTTCTTGAGTAAAATAATTGCTGAATTACATTTAAATGATCATTAAAACGATACACTCATGTTTTCTTAACAGAAACTAAATAAATAAACTAACAAAGTCAAAAAACTACTCTCGTAGATTTGTTTTGCCGTCTATAATAATTCATAACTATTTGGTTGTTCTTCATACAGTCACAACCAAGAGTTTTATGTATTTTTTCATCATTCCTTTCTGCTTCAGCGAAAAAAAAATATTATATTGAAAAGAAACTTCGACAAACGAAAATCGAACATATATCTCAACTCTATTTAGATAAATAGAAGCAACAATTTTTTAAAATTTATCTTATTGTAAATTATACAATCGCAAGTATTATCAAAGGATCCACTTCGCAACTGAAAACAGTATTGATTTCTTTCTTTTTATACATATTAAATAAGGAGTTTTTATTTTTGTCTCAATTATCCAAGAAGTGACATTATATATATATATATATATATTGGAATGAAGATTATTATTCAGAGACCGATTAAGTTACAACGAGTCTATCGTTTATTCTTGACAATACAGAATATCAGCTGAATATAACAATGAACCATTAGCTGGATGAAAAAATCTTCTCATCTATCAAATAAATCTTTCTATTCATGATTAATCTTCTTTTTCAAGATAAAATGTAGTATATTGTTTTCATCGTGAATTATAAACATAAGATCACAGGATTAGATTGGTCATAAATAATTTACTTCATTTCAATCTAATTCATGCTTCAAGATTAATTTAAGGAATTTTTTGTTCTGTTAATGTATATTTTCACACGCACATGATTAAATTTAAATTTTTGTTCAACAAACTAATAAATGATAACCTCTTCAAACTGAATTAATTGTTAGATTCATTATATTCGAAGGTTTCGTTTTCATTCCGAAAACATATTATGTGTTCAATGAAAAAATATATACTAAAAAGACAGCATTTTTTAGTATTATTAATCATTCAAGAAAATATTTCGCTTAATATTTGTATATAAAATAATAATAAATCATCATTAAATTGCATTATATATTGCATTGGTACTTATTCTTCACTATTGTAGTGTATTTTTTTCAGAATTGAATCAAAACAAAAGAAGAAAAACTATTCGTTGCTTCTACTCAAGACATCTATCAAAACTGTAAGTAGAAAAAGAAAGAAGGCAGAATACCTTAAGTATAATCTATAAGAGAAAAAAAAGTAAAGAATAAAGTTACGACAGATTTGTATGTGTATGTGAGTCAACTGAACAGGCAACGAACTGACAGCAAACAATAGAAAGAAAGAAAGAGAGAGAGAGAGAGAGAGAGACAGATACTAATCTTGATCCTGCTTGTCATATCTGCCCACCTATATGATAATGTACGAAATGTTGGTCACAATTTTATTGTTCAAGCAGCTCATCTAAAGTAAAAGTAAAAGAAAAAGAGCACACATAAGTGAATAGTTTTGAACGAATCGAAGTCTAAATAAAATAAACTTTTTGAAATGATCAATGATGAAATATTTCACCAAATTGCTTATCCAATTCGCATTATTTTACCTATTATTTATACATTGATTACTTTAATTGGTCTTCTTGGAAGTGTAGTGAATTTTTATGCTTTATGTGTTAGTACCAACCGATTTAGTAGAAAAAGTATTCACTTACTTATTTGGAATTTACTTGTCGAAGGAACAATATGGACAATAATATTCTACATAGTTAAAATGGTATCGTATGCTGATCTAGGTGAACATTTTGCATTAAATAATGGTAAATGGTTGAATGATGTATGGTGCAAATCGGAAATGTATATATTACGTATAATGGATTTTGTTCTTGCTTATACGATCGTTTTTTTATGTTTTGATCGATGTGTTAAAAGAAAAAGATGTTGTTATGGTCAACGCCGTTTCGCCAGTGGCATTTGTCTATTAGTATCGTTGTGGCTTGCTGTTTGTTATGCATTAATACCAATATTATTTTTTAATCAAGAATTAAAAACTTTGAATTATGGTTCATATGAATGTGTTTACAATGAAACGCAAATAAATCAATTAACTTGGTTAGATTTAAAACAAATTCAAACACCTTATCGAACAATTTATTTAATTGATTTTATATTTGGAAATGCTTTACCGATATTTTTAATGATTTTTCTCTTAATATTACGCATTCTCATTCATAAAAAAATGAAAAGAAAATATAAAATTGAAACAAGTAGTATTTTGAGCGATACTGAAATAAATAAGTATAACAAATTAGATATAACAACATATGATGATGAACATCCTGATCTAATTAAAATGGTATGTTGTCTAATTCGTTTTTGTTTTGTTTTACGAATAGGGAAAAAAACGTTTTCTTTTCTATATCATTACATTAGCAAAAAAATATAAACATCGATATCAAATTTTTTTTATTTATTCAAAATTTCTTATAATGATTAATAATAATAGATATATTGAGAAAAATCTTCATGAATCAGTTTGATCAAGTTGAATCCATTTTGTTTCAGGTTGTTTTATATGTGGTTGTATATATATTTTGTCAACTTCCATATTATATTTATCGTTTGTCATGTATTTATCATCCATCAATAGAAATGCATTTAAATTCACTTAATATTTCCTATGCAATTGATATTCCGCTGATTATTCTTCGGTTAATCAATCGTGCTATAAATCCTTGGCTTTCATTTTTTCTAATGCGTTCAATACGAGATTCATCCAGGCGAGCATGTTCATCGTTTTGGTGTTGTAGCTGTTTCCCATGTTGTTCAAATCGCTGGTCATGTTTACGTGATTGTTCATCATGTATACGTCATGAATGGTCTGATCTAAAAACAACTCCCAAAATAATAAGAGAAATTCGTCGAACAGGAAACACGATGAAAAAAGATATTATTGATTCAACTGGAAAACATATTAGACAAACATACGAAGAATATGCTAGATATTATCATCGACCACGTTCACATTTTAGTGATGCTAATCCAGCGTTACTATTTGTTGGCAGAAATACACCATCGGTAACGGATTATTTACCTTATTTAACCAGTAAAAATATAGTGCAACTTGATGAACCCAGTACTGAATTGTAATGCTTATGTTTCATGTATTCTTAGTATTTGCTCTTTGTACATCGATCCATATAAATATTTAATATCAAGAGAAATTATTCATGTTATTTACTTAATTAAGTAAACTCTTTACATAATATCATGAGAAACAATTGTATGAAAGAGATAAGCTATGTGTCTATCTAATATGTTAATTATAAACATAGTGCATTTAAAAATGCCTAAGTAAAATCTTAAACAGAATCAGGAAAAAACCCTGTAAGTCAGTCTAAAATCTGTCCAACTGCATCTGCATGATCAAATTTTAAAGATTCAACTTGATATCTGTAATAGTTAAGGAACAATCACGGATGGAAACCAATAAAAAGAATATGACCAATAAGAAAATATCAATTGAATTAGTAGGTAGAAAAAAGAAACTTGTTTCGTATGTAATTCAAAGAGTGAATCTATTTGCATCGAATAAAAACACATAAACTAAAGTTAGTCAAGCAGACACAATAGATAATAAATGCTCAATATTCTAGAATTCATCTTAATAATAATTCATCGAACAGAAGCTTTAACAATATGATATTTTCAATGTTTTTCTTATTGATTAGTATGGTCATCATCAATAAGGACAACCTCATTTATGACCTTTCGATGTTAAACAAGTAAAGTAAACGAATTTCAAAATCAATTAAACAAACAACTTTCATCATAACATCAATATCCAACTAAGTAAACAATTGTGAATATTAATGAAAATTACTCGAATAACATAATCAAAATCATAACAACAATATCAAATCTAAGAACTAGACAAAGACGATACATAAATTTCTAAAATAAAGAACGAACTACTTTCATCCTCAACATTTTTTGTTAAAATTCAATATATAATTCTTTTTTTTTAATGATAAAAAGATACAACAACTGACGTCATTCTTTATTCATACTAATTACGCATAGTCATCAATATTAAAAGACAGAAAGCTATCTGACTTATTAATCAATTCAATAACTTAACTATTCTCGGGCAAAAAATGTAGTTTTACATGGATTATGAAGGAATCCTAAAATAATTGCTATTCGATGATAAATCATTGTTAGCTGATGTGACTATGATATATAAAACGGCAAATATTTCGTCTAGTGTGTAATAGAAAATGTTCAACATCACCAGTGTTTGCCAGTTGAAACAGTAGTATGCCAATAATTCTTTTGGGTGAAATCTATCCTTTTCTTGATGTTAGTCGATTAGTTAGCAAAAATTAATCTTTTGCTTTTACTTTTGACTTCACAACTTTTTTGTAATTTTAGCAGTTTATCATGCACCTATTTATACCAACAAGTTGAATACGTGTGAAGAATCAAAATAGTGTAAAAACTTTTTCTTTTCTGTATTCTTACTGAGAGATGTTTTTTCATTGATGGGAAAATGAGAAATAAAGCGCATGAAAAGAAATACAGAATTTTTATAATTTTCTTAACAATTTAGCGATCATTGTGCAAGATTAATCATAACTATTCGGTAAGTTTATATTCACATAAAAAAAACATGAATTAATACAGAACCTTACATTGTTTTAGTGCGACATGAACAAAATCAGAATTGTACAATGAGCCTATCTTACATACTTGTTTAATTTCTTTGTGTTGATCGAGATAATCAATGAACTATTCTTTCAAAAGAAAAAAAATAAAACATGCAGTTCACTTGAACAAATAGAATCTTATTATGGGGCTTTTTCCAACTACAAGTCTACGACGAACATGAGGATCAGAATCAGATATTTTTGGATCAAGAGACAGAAGAGAATAGCTGCATGTTTTTATGAAAAAAAATGATATTATTTTCATTTAGGGAAGCCATTGTCCTGCAATGTGGTCTTCCAAAATGACACTTTCTCGCATTGATAGAATTCTTTGTCTATAAGTTCTTGCTGTTCATTTCACTTGATTTTGTTAGAACTCTTTTGAAAATCTTGTCAGATTTTATTGGCTGTAAGGAAATTCTCAAAATTATGATTTTTCACTTGTATCGATTGATAATGAAACATTTCCTTCGATTTGATAAAATTAAAATAATATCTTCCGATAATACAATCGCAATGGAGTAATTAATATTTTTCTAAATAATTCATAAACAACTGAACTCTGAATAGTAACAAATTTCATGTTTAAAAATCACCATTAAGATATAAATACATTGTTAATTTCAGTTGATATATTTGAAAACTATTTAAAAGTAATTGAAGAAAGATTTACATCAATATTCTTGTTATTATAGATTGCATTAGCATCGATGGCACTAATTTTTATCAAATTAATTCGATATATTGTTACGTATCTTACGGAAGGTCTCATAAGTCAATTTTTTTATCTCTTGGTCCGATTATTTCTATTGATTTAATATCATAATTAGGGGAAAACATAAACAAAATAAAACAAAACAAAAATGCAGTTAGATATATTTTAGACTAGTATACAAGGTTTGTTTTCAACAATCAGAATTGATATGACAGATGATGCATAAAAATGATCTAGCTTCGTTCAAAAAGACAACCAATATTTTAACCATGCAAAGGATGGGGCAAAAGACTTACATATATTTATATACTGAAAACGAAATATCATGAGGAAAATGAAAACATCAACTCATAGTAATATTTAAAAAAAATACAAATAGAAAACTGTGACAGTTGCAAAAACAACACTGATACACGTATATCATCAAGAAATAGTATTTAAACGAGACGACTCAATCTGTCGTCTAAAATAAAGTGTAATATCGGCAATATTTGGACGACTTGCTCCATCAATATGCCAACATTCACAAAGTAAATCATAGATTTCTTTTGGGCAGTCAGGTGGAAGAGGTAAATTGAATAATGCATCATCTTTATTTTCTGATTGTTGCAATATCATACGTTGATAAAGTTCTTCATTTGTTAATGATGCATGTGGTAAACATGAACAACGTGAACATATTTCCCATAATGTTACAGCAAATGAATATATATCGGATTTTATTGTTGGATCTCCCTAAAGTACATTTTGCAGAAAAGATTTTTTTATATAGTTAAGAAAAGAATATTTTTCTGTACTATTAAGGTTTCTGGTGCACTCCATCTCAATGGTATTAACTGTTCGTTTTTTGTTAACCAATATTCATTTTCATATTTTGATAAAGCCATTGCACAATCAGTTAATTTTATTGTATAATCCAAATAAAAAAGACAATTACGTGTTGCTAAATCACAATGAATTAGATTTAAATGAGACAAATATTGAAGAGCATTTGCTAATTGATAAGCAAAATAAATGTTCATCCTAAAATAAATAAACAAAAAGATTAACAAACAAATATCAATGATTATACTTTTGAAAGGTTGAGTCATTTGTTTGTTGATTGGACATTGTGTGAAAATAATCCTGTAAAGTACCAAAGTGTGAATATTCTTGAACAATATAAAGTAAATCAAGTTTAACAGCATATAAACATGAAATATTTATATGATTTAAATGTGATAAAATTTCAAGTTCATTTAAAAATTTCTGCCTATACGTAAAAAACGAAATAGATTTATTCTAAAATTTACAATTAAACTTTTGTCTGTTTTACCTGCATGTGTTAATTACATTTGTTTTAACGATTTTAATTAAAACACATTTAGATTCATTATCCAAGAAATATTTCCCTAGATAAATTTCACCATTTTTTGTTTCAGATATTTTATTGGATACAATTAATTTTGTTTCATCAACATCTGTTGGATAGTTTGTCGATGAATGAGGATTGTATTTTGAAGATACGCTTTCTCGAGGAATTATACAATTAAATAAACTTATTCGTTGATTATAGAATACTTTATCGATTTGTCCAATATCTGATGAAGCATAGTGGCATGTCTAAAGACAGAAAAACAAAATAAAAATAAAAATAACAATTAAATCTTCATTTTTACATTATTTGTTGGCCATCGGTTATAATTATTAAATGAATAATTTCCATCAATAACTGCATATTGTTCACCTTTAAATATTGATGCTGGTGGACTAGTGTGTAATAACGATGTTGTTGATGTTATTGGATAGATATAGGATGCCATCGATTGTTGTTCACTTGTTATATCATCATAATTATTTGGCGTTAATAAATGATTAATTTTATTGATAGGTAATGTACTGCCATCATGTTCACTTGACGTTGATACACAAGAACCACTCGTTGTTGTTGTTGTCATTTGAGAAGATTTATAATACAGATTTCTATTTTGTCTTAAACGATGATGTAGACGACGGCGACGACGATGAAGACGATAGAAACCAAAAATAAATAAAACAATTAAACAAAATGAAAGAATAGAACCAATTAATATTGTTAACCATTCGAATGTAAATATAGTTAATGATGAAGATTGAAATGTTGAATCTTTAGTTACTAGTAAATATAAAAGTTATACTAAAACATTAATTGATTGAATAGAAAAGTTCTCTTTTACCAATAGAACAACTTGTTGTATTATTTATCTCGAATGTTGTATTAAGCAGAATTGCTGGTTCATTCTCAAATGTAATTTCTGTTAGAAAAAGTGCATTATCAAATTCAAACATAATTTCTATTCTTTTGCCAATAAATGTATTTCCATATTTCATCAAATGAATAGTATCAACAAACACAGTGGATAAGGATGATTCTTTTGGTGATGCATAATGTTCAATTGAAAGATGATTATCAAATCTAATATGAATTGAATGATATTTTTGGTTCATTGTATAGATTTCTATTGTTTTAAATTGACGAGAAATATCGAAATTAAATTCAATGGACGCTGGTGATTGATGCCAACCGAGCCAATAATCATCGACACCTCCGAAAATTCCATCGACTAACTTGCCAATACCACCTAGTCATTTTTTTTGTCATACAACATAAAATAAAATTTGGAAAAATAAACTAATATTGTTCCTACCATCATATGTATTATCTCTGTCTGAAGTTGGTGACGTTTTATAGGATATGACACCTCCTATAGAAAATAATAATAATAATAATATAATATTTCTTTACAACTTAATCCTATTATTATTCTAACCATGATATGGACATCCATAAAGTTCAACTCGCATACAAACTGTTCGCCACCGTTGGCTATAGGGAACAATTCGAATTCGCTTAGCTAAGATTGGCGATAAAAGTGAACGTTTTTCAGGCAAATATGTGTTAATATTTCCATTAAAAATCTATTTAATATGAAACAAAAAGAAATATTTTCTCTTCCTTTCTACTCATTAATAAATATCATACTGTTTTATTTGTTGTTTTACTATGATAAGTGATCCAATCAGGCGATTTATTATCACGTTGATATTGAATTTGATAATATTCTGCGTATTCTCTTCCTTGTCCATTACCAAATCGACCTTGAGTTTCAACAGCATTTATGAAAAATAATTGTCGTAGTTCTATTTCTAAGTATTCATAAGAATTAACTCCAACAGGCTTGTCCGGACACCATGCTCCTCCTTCTATTTCAGTACGAGCTCTATTCAAATAGAATATTTAATCAGATTTTATTCGTGATAGATCATAAAAAAAAATGAGAAGAAAAAGATAAATGACTCATTTACCTTGCCATTTGAGGTCCAACACTGCTAATGTCATGTGTTGAACTCGCAGTCAAATCACTATCAGTAATCGAGCCTGACTCCATACCCAATGGTGCATCACAATGTTCTTGAAATGAGAGACAAAAAAATGCATTGACCTACTTAAAATCTTTTAAATATTTACCATATTCAGGCAATATTAGATTCGACGAGACATAGATAAAATTAATGATGAATATTAGACATATGCTTATCATCGTAGATAGATATGATAACATCGGATATCTGAAAAAGAAAGCAACATTTCGAAAATGAACAAATTATATGATAATTAACCAATATGATAATACACAGATATTGTTATTATCGGTTTCTGTTGATACAGTTCACTGATTGAAACATCAACTAATTAAAGGACAAATAAACAATATGATCATATAATATCAATAATGATCACCTTGAAATGATTAGTTATGAATCTTTGAATTACTGTTTTTCCTTACTTGGTACTAAATGTCTAGACACTTTATTTGTTTCTTTTTATTTCATATTACTTGAACAACTCTATTTAAGATATCACTTCAAAAAGATATAGTTGTGTCGATATTGTGCATGAAGACAAACACGCTTTTGACAGGATTGTTATATGTGTACAGATCGTTCATCATAGAGAAGAGAACATCGTTAAGAGCTATCTGTTCACACTTCAAAATAATCACTGCTGTGAATGTTGATTAACACAACATGAGTTAGGCGACGTCGATTTATTACGCAAAAAAAATCGAAATATGTATGAACCGTAGTTAAACAATCATCATAGCACACGATCTATGTATGTGCTTAGTGATTGTATAAACAAATAGTATGCTTAAGTTGTCTGATATGTATGAGAGTATTGTATGCTTTGCGGTAAAGATTGACGGACGGACAGCACTCCAGGCAACTTACGTACGTTGAAAAAAGAGATCAGATCATTAGAGTTCGTTTGATAGCGACCAGATCTTACCAATGTTTATGATGCAATCTAACAAATATTCTCCACATTCTTTTAATATAATCACGTACTGTTCTGCTTGTCGAAACCGTGAGCGAACAGAGGAATCTTTCTTTTGTACCAGAACAGAAGAAGAGAGAAAAATCTTCTTTCTCTCTCTTCTGTCACATCGAGAAGAGAGAGAAAGAGAGAAAGAGAATTTGAGAAGAAATTCGATAATATTTTCTATCTTTTTTTTCTTTCTCTGTCACCAATTGCCTATGTATTTATTAATTTGTACCTTGCTTCTCGTTCTCAACGATGGGCATATAAGAGGATTCTTTGTTCAAGTGTATGATAGGCAATCTTACGTGAAATCCACTCGAATTTCATTGCATGGTAATAATCAACTGCAAATACGTACCTGTATTTTATGACATGACAAAAAAACCTTGTATTATCGAAGTATGAGAAAGGGTTTGCGTTCGCTGTTCATTATTGTTGTTGTCATCATGTATGTTAATGTAGTTTGGTTCATATTTCAATCTAATCAGTTGAAAATTTTAAATCACGAAGTGTGAATATCAATCAGCTGTCTTTGAAAGATATAGGGAAAAAAGAAGTCCGCTTTACTTTTGAGATCGTGATGCACTTGTCGAAATGAACCATTCGACAGGTCATTCAATCGGAACACACATATATGCACATCAGCGAAGTTAACTGATAGAATGGAAAAAAACTGCTAATCGACATTCTGCTACACATAGAAATAAAATAGAATTATGCAATCCATACGCCAAACAAGTGTGCTATTGAAAAATAATTATTGATAGTGAGCACGCTAAATAAAAATGTGGACATACAAGCCTCAGGAGATATCATATACATCTTTGAGACTGAAGTTCAAATATAATTGGTTAGTTTCTGCTTCTAGCTACTAATATATCTCATGTTACATAGTAAACATCATAATTCTTTTTAGTCATTGTCACACGCGATCTGCTTCCTTTTTTAGCTAGGGAATAGGAAATGATACTAGTGATGCTTTCTACTAGTCATCGTCAAATGACAAAAAGATTCAAGGTTAAATACAGACGAATAAGCAAACGAGGCAATGTCTCAAGGAGAAGTGTGATAAGTCAATATGCTGTATAAAAACAAAACAAAACAAATAGATATGCGCCTACCTATCATGCAGTTTCGATGATCTTCTTTTTTAGTGTTTACATAAGTGATAAAACCAAAGAAGAAAAAGAAAAATTTGTCTTGGATTTTTATCCAAATTGAGTTAATGCTTAGATGTTTCACTTGCTCGTTCGATTGTGTAACAGACGAAATCAATCACTAATTCAATCACGATGGATTCGTTCGGACTAAAGAGTGTTGTATAGAGAGAAAAAATTACGTTATATATTGCCAATGAGTAACAGTGCTAAAAGGATTCCTTTCTCTCTTTTTTTTATTCCATTCAAGCATATACAAAAGATCTTTTCAGCCTTGAATGAACCAACAGTCGGAATGAGAAAAAAAGAAAAGAGACTCGATCATTAGTAGGCGTACTCAACGAAGAAGAACATACATAGAAGCTTATATTAGTTCTTTCTTTTATATACATATATATATATATATGTGTGTGTGTGTGTGTGTCTACCGGGTGGAGTAGTTAGTACTATTCTATGACTGCAATTAGACATGAACAAGCCAGTCATTCGTGTGTTTAGTCTAGCACTACTGCTGATCTTCATCTATTCACAATGTGATCAACCATATGTGTGGGCAACTTTCGTGGTGAAATCAGTTAGCTACCATTCTAGACAGCATCGACCATTTGCGTATACGAACATGTTCATATTTCTTGACTGAACACAAGAAAAGAAATCAAATCGAAGAACTAAAGAAAGACGAAAAATGAGTCGCGTCTGAACAATTATAATAACACTAATCATCCATTACCATAAACGAACTCCTATTGAACTGCTACTGCTGTTGCTGCTGCAAAATCATAATATTTAAGTGAACAGCAGACATGAACATTAAATCAACTTCGTTTAATACACATACATATATGTATTTGAAAATTTTCCTCTCTTATTATTCTCTCATTACTCCATAAATGGAGCAGAAGATATTATCGACGCCTTTTCCGACTGAATGAGTTCTTTCTTGTTCATAGTTCACTGCACAACTACTAGTTGCTTTTAGTGATAGATGATTGATTGATCAATTCAACTCTATTCTATATCAACAGTATAAACAGAAAAAGAATAAATGATAATTATGAAACTACTCAACTGCTTATTTCTGTATCAAATAGATAAAAAAAACGATTGCTATCATTAACAGTAAAGCTACCATAGCTATATAGGAGAGACGGAAAAGTATTCTTCTTCTTTCAGCAATCACCGTATATATATATATATATACGCATATATTGGTGTTAAAATAAATAATTAAATGAATGATAATAATGTCGATGTTAATGTTTATAGACTTTGAGTAATCGATTCAGAACTGATTCGTTTTATAAAATATTCATAGAAGTGTATCCCCACTTAGATAAGAAAAAAGTATTTAAATGAACTTTTACTTTGTTTTGTAAATGACAACGTAGAGTTAGACAATAAGGTGTAATGGTAGAATTGTATTGATATTTCTGAAAAACAAGATGTTACTCTTTTCTTAGAAAAGAAAAAAATATAAGATAAATATGTTTAGATCAATCAACATCAAAGATACTATGATATTATTGTTAGACTGTCATTTCTCAATAGGTGGCCAATGGTCATTTATTTTGTTTCTTGTTCGTTCTCTGTATTTATATATATATGTGTTAGTTTTCACTATCGTATTCAGCGGGTTTTTTTCTATGTTTTATTGATTCTGACACATTTTTGATCTCATATACATAAATGCATTCAATGACCTTTAGGGTTACACACACACTTGGCATGTGAATGAGTGTTTGATGTCAAACCACAACATATTTTTTGTTGTTATTTTGTAAATATACACATGTTTTGATTAAAATCGATAATACATCACAATGATAAATGAAGCATAAAAAAGAGAAATTTCATGACAATATTTTCCACTGGTCAGAGTAACATCAAACTTATTTCCTGCTGCATGCAGATACATGTTGAAGATAAGAGGATGTGCAATGCATGTCCGAAGAACAAAAAGAAACAATCACTTACTATTTTGAAGAGAAATAGAAAAGGTTCATTCATATAAGCATAACTAACAGCTTCATCAGTTCGATAATCATATTGGATGACTACGTAGATCTCGTGCATGACAACGTGTCGTCTAAGTGGACAGTTACAAGAGGGCGGAATTCTGCATGTTGCGAATGTCTTGCGGATAGACGAAGTCGAGTGATTTTTTAATCATGTTTGAAGTATTGCAGTAGACAAGAGAAAAAAAGAAAAAAAAAAGACCATTACTTCCTGTACTTATCATCGAAGAATAAAGGATGGACGAACGAATGAGTAAATAGGCGTTCTATATAAAAGAGAAAAAATAAGAAACTTGTTTGACCGGAAACATGTACACATGCAATAGAGAATGAATAAGTATGTAGTTATGTTTGTATATGTGTATATTTACTCAATGTGTTGATGAACAAAGTCACACAAGAGTTGAACAACAAAAGTATATTTGTGAGACTCGTTTCTATTCCTGTTAGTTATGTGAACCATATTTATGACGTAAAACGATAATAAAGAAATAAAGTCTGTGATGGTTAACTGAGAGTATAATGTTTTTGTCTGTTGAGATCGATTTAATGATATTGAACTTACTCTCGTACGTATAGATTGAGTTTTAATGATAATTTTAATTAAAAATAAAATCTATTGATTGAATTCATTTTGATGTCGATGCGAACAATAGTTTATTGATTTTTTTACGGAAATTAATCAAATACAAATGAAACTTTTAATTAATTTGATTGAACTGTAACTAAATATTATCTATTTAACATTGATACGATTGACTACCGAATATATGATAGGGAAATCAAAAAATGAAGAATTGAACATTATTGTTATCGGTAACTATTCAAATAAATACGAAACGTCCATGTTGCATATCTGATAAGAAGAAAAAGTATTACTTCTGTATTCATCTTAAGTTATTTTCTTAAAATTGAATTTATTTAAGGTACATCCATTGAAATATTGATTATAATCTGAATCGTGGTCGAATTATAAAACAAATGAATATTATTCAAAATAGATTTTATTTCCTTATCGTTACTATTATCCTATAATCTATGCTGCTCATAAAATTAGTATTTATAAAATCTTACAACATAACATGAGTCTATAATTAGAGAAGAATGATGAATAATATTAACATCAACATTTTCCGTTTGTTGAAAAGTTAATTAAACAAATGATAGTATTTGATCATTTAAATCATTATTTTGGCAACTTTTACAGGTTCCGATGGGTGAAGAACCATAAATTATATAGATTATTTAAAACATTCTTGACATATTTGCCTGTAATTATCTTTTCTACCTTTGAATAAGTTTCAATCAATAAATAAATTTAACCATGGAAATATCGTTTTTATTTGTATCGATTAACATCTAAGCGTATTGAAATATTAGTACAAAGTTTTTATGTATATTCTATTGAAGAAAATTCATGTTGAGAGAATCCGTGAAGCACTATTGTAAAAATTAGCCGATCACTAGAGAGAAAATTAGTTTCACTAATTAATATTGAAATTGAATTAGAAATAGGCTTCGAACAAAGCCATGAAAAAAATATAATTAAGTGATTCAAGAGTAGGAGTCGTGTGATCATTAAGAAACATGTGAGATCAATATCTATCATTAATGAAAATATTTTGGGCATCCATTCATATTGATGCAGACTGGTTTTTAGATATTATTCTTAATAGAGATCTAAACAAAATATGATAAGATTTATGCCATTCAGTAAGACCTTGAATGTTTCACTGATATATACTCGTTTTCTCGTACTAATAAATTAACATGATAATAAATTTCATTTTTATAATAAGATATTCATTCCTTTTCTTATATTTAATTATATTTCAATATCTGATGTAATCTTGTCTTCGATTTTAAGTTTTCATTTCCATATAAAGATCTTATTATTCGATTATTTTCGAGACTATTTATAAACAAAACGAGGAAAACAAATGACAGAAAAATCATGAATAGGATTACACAATTGAATGATGATAAATTATGACAAAATCATCATTTATTGAGAAATGCATAAAAAGAAAAGGTTAAAGCACACACACACACACACACATATGCGGATGCGTAAAATAAACGATACAACGACGGTTCGATTGTTTTTATCGAGAGAAAAAATATATCGAACGAATCCAAGTACAAATTGAAAACATCAAATATGTGTCAAAAGTTTTTGAACAAAGTAATTGTTTAATTTACAGTAACTTTTATATCACTGGAGAGATTCAGCAATCAAAACTATAGTAAGAACGTGGTATTGTTTAAAAATAGATTATTAGAGTTTCTGTTTTTGTCTAACAACTGAACAGATGTGAGAAAATATTTAAATAAACCAATAAAAATAAATTACATTAAAGAAAAAAAGATATATTATTGTTTTCTATTGAGAACTGTCGTGAACAATAGTTGAGATAATTTTAAATCTCTATTATTGTACAATACTTTCTTTACTATAGAAAAAAAACGGATTTCCAAACAATAGAAAGCAACAGTTAATGTTCGAAAAACTACATGAAGTTACAAGGTGGTAAAGTCAATATTTCATATAACTAATTTCACTCGATCAACTAATTTTGAATAGAACGATTTAAAGTTTATCTTGAAATAATGTTAATCAAGATCAAGAAAGGATTTGTTTTATCCAGTGATTTTTTTAAACTGAATTGAAAGTCAAACGAATATATTATTCATAGACTTTTAACACATGATTTACACAAAAAGTGTAATGAAGATAAGAAAGAGTGAAACTATAATCATTGATTAACAAATGTCATATTACTCAAAGCAAATATAATAATACGTATTATTAAACGAATTCAAATATCTGTCGCTTAAATATTCTTCAACGGCAAATATGATTCGACTACATATCAATTACACAATTTTTAAAACACTATTTAAAATACTGTTGAAGAATTATAAGAAAAATTAGCTTGGCATTCGAATATTCCATTGAACTCCACATATATACATATATACGCATACAAAAACAAAATAGGGATTTTCAGCAAAATAATAAGTAACGAAATTGAGAGAGCGGAGACTGGACTGGAGAGTGCACTGTTATTATATGAAAATAGTATAATATGTTTCTCAATTGAATTTAAATCGAAGAAGATCACCGAGAATCATTGAAAAGAAAAGAATAGAAAAGAAAATTTCGAGCAGACTAGTTTCGAAAAATAAATAAATAGATTCCTTCAAGATTTTTTCAATTGTTCAATATGATGAACAATTTTAAGTGATGGACCAAGTTTCAAACCCATGTGTCGCATTAATGTATCTGTTGTAAGAAGAAGAAGAGCTTTTCCATCGATTTCCTTTTATAAACAAATGAATTAAACAAATCATTTAGAAATAAAAATCTAGATTAGCTATCATAATTAAATACCTCTTGCAGAAACCTTGAAGCAAGACTATCAAATGATGGATCAATACTTCGAACAAACGTTGCTACTTCACCTGGAGTAAATGTTTCATAATCACGAGATTTATCTAATTAAAGTTCGCATCAATATTAAATTTTCAATCTCAAGAATGATACTGACGATTATTCTGATTCGATTTTGAATTCAAGTTTTGTTGTTGTTGTTGTTGTTGTTTGATTGTTGATGTTGACTGAGTAGTCAATGAAGATTCTAAACATGATAGCAAAATTTATTTTGGCAATATCTTCTTCGAATAATTACTTTTATTATAAATTGTTCGTTCATTTAGATTAGATCGTGCTACTTTTCCATTGTTTATAGATGTTTTTTTTTCTAAAATGGAAAACATATTTTTTCAAATCAAAAGCTATAAGAATAATCTCGACGTAATTGAAATGTGAAATACGATTTAACTGATGTTACTAATTGCTGATAGATTGTTTTTTTCAATCAATTTTAGGATACATTTTCTTCACTATACTTTCATTCAATCTTTCAAAAATCTAGTAATAGTAACATACTCTAAGCTAATATTTTAGAAAGACCCATTATTTATATACATTTTCTACATCGATATTCCTTTTAGATCGCTGTTGATAAAATAATTTAAAATATTTAACCACAATATACATACCTGGATATGTAATTAATTCTGTACTCTTTCTTTTGTTTTTATTATTAATTGTTGACTTATCTAGAAATATATCGACATGTTATAACATCAAACGAAAGAAAAATAAATCAAACGAACCAAATACTGTCCATGAGTCAAGAAAAGATGATGATGAGGAATCATTACCTAAATCTATGAAAAAATGATTAACATCGAATGTTATTTTTTAGATTTTTACTTTGATTATTCATTGATATTGGTTTAGTTGAAATAAAAAGATCGTTTCCTGATAGAATAATATTTTGCAAAGTACTTATAGCTTCCCAAAAACCATCTAGTGTCTCAAGCTGCTGAATATAAACTATTGTACCATTTTTCACTTTATTTTAAAAAAAGTACAATTTTTGATAGAATTTTATTCAAGAAGAAAATAACGTTTTTATACGTACATTTAATTTTTACATAAGAATCCTTTTCTTCGTCTTTAGGTGCTGGAAAAATTTCAAGTATTCGCTTAGTAAATGATGTTTCTTGAAATGCACACTTAATGCATGCATCAAATATGGATGTCAACACAGTATGACATTTATCGGGACCAAAAACAGATAACATACATGAACGAAATTTTTGTGGATCTAGTAACATTCCGCTATTGTCACCAACATAATTGAAATAGACAGTCACTAAAATAAATTTATTTAATAAATTATCAGGGTTCTTGTTATTGTTTTAAAAAAATCTAAGAAAAATAGCAAATTTTCTTATTTAAATCGTATGTTACGATGAGAATTTTTTATCGAAATATTTCGTTTATATTCATGATTTTCAATGAAATTTGTCTGATAAATTTAAAGTTCTTATTTATTTGGATAAAATAAAATGAATGAGACCTATAATAGCCAAATTTTCAATGTTGATTGTCAACACTTTATCATATAGCTATCGTCATTGATTATTAGAAACGTTGTATAAATCTTCACTTATTATAGCATCAATCAAACAGTTCCTTGAATAGAATGTTTGAAAATGATCGCAAGTACTTCGATATTAGAGAAATTAGAATATATCAACAATAAAAGTTACACAAGATGAGACTATCGAACATTTTTATATTCAAAATAAAAATTTTGAAAAAAAGATAAATTTTCAGGACGTTCCACATATGATTGTGCAAATGGTAGAAGATTTAGGAAAGTAAATCTTTGAAAATCTCAACGAACTTATCTATCAACAAAAAAAATAAGTAATCGATTTGATTGAATTTAATAAGTGTTAGGAAAAAAGATTTTAATCATCTAAATCGCCTATTGATTTGTATAGATTTCAGATTCCTATACGTTTTTAATGTCTATCAAAATGAAAACAATTAGTCAAAAACAACATATATTGATGATCATATTTTTATTTTATTTTTTATATTATTTTGTCCTATCTTTGTTCATTGAAAATGTATTCTACATTAGAAAAGAGCATGTAAAAAGTGAATTTGAAATTTTCTTCTTCTGATTGTATTTACGACAGTGTTTTTGACAATCATTAGTATTTAATTTAAAAATCGACTTCAAAATTTAGCAAATATAATCATACTATTTCAATTAAACGTTAAACATAAGGCATAACTAAGAATTGTGTAAAATAAATGAACAGAGAAAATTTTCAATCCGAAAATTCTTACCAATCGGTGGCTTGGTTTTTATATTATCATCAGTTTGATTTAAATCAGTTGAACATTTATGCACTTTTTTAATTTCTGATACTTCATTTATTTTTCTTTTAGCTGTTAGATTATTATTTTTCTCATCCATTGTTGTTCGAGAATAAGTTGAATCGTTTGATGATGATAAAATAGTTGTCTTGCTATTTTCTGATTGTTGATGTTGAACATGCCCATGTTGTTTGTTGAGAGTTGCTCCTAACATTTTAGTTGACGTACGAGAATAAGCTAAAGAAAAGTCCAAAATTTCCTCTATCGTTCTTGTTCAATTTATATAACGAATCAAATACATACGGTTTCCACCAACTTTTGCAATACGAATTCCAGCTAATCGACACCAACCCACAGGAAAAATATCACGTGACAAATAATCAACTTTAAAATTATTTGATGAACTCCATCCATCCAGCGATAACACAATTCGATAATCACCAGGTATAATATTACTTATTGTTGCTGGACATATGATATGAGGATGTTTTGGATCCACAGCTTCTAATTTTTGCCCTCTTTTAAATTGATTTTTTTCAGGTTTTGGAGGCAACTAAAATTGACAATGAATTTTATTTTATTCGAACCTGTAATTTTTCAGTACCGGTTTAAAACATGATTGATGAGCAAATGGACCATTTTTAACATGTTTTTCAAAATATTTTGCCCATCGTGTAGAATTGAGTTGAAAACCAAGTGGTGGTACAATTTGTCCGCCCTCGAAAGAACGAAAGAAATCATTAACAAAGTGATATGATTTACTTGAAAATTTTCATACCAATTGCGTTGTTGCTCCGTAACAACGAATATCTGCTGAATCGACAAGCCGCCAAAAGTCATTTCGATCATCAGTTCCATCTAGTCGAATGCGTAATCGAGGTCCATCTTTTTCAATAATTGTTCCGATACACCATGAATCTTGATTTCTTGGATCGATTGATTCAAGTTTTTCTCCCACACTAAATTCGTTCACTGGGGGATTCAAAGCCTTTTAAGAAAATGATTTATTCAGATAGTTAAGTGAAAGAGTTTTCATTTTTCAGTAGTCTACTTGTCTGAAATTACTTGCCGATGCTGCTTCACTGTTGGTTTCAATTAAATAGGAATTCCAATCATGTTCTAAGCGTATTCAATAAGATAAATTAATCATGAACAGCTATTTTACTTACGTTCTTCTAGTGATGAATCATCTGGTATGGAACTATTGTTTTTTTTAATAGGAGCAGATCTCGAAGATGCAATCATATCTGAAATAAGTGATAGTAAAAAGAACCCTTTTCTACATAGAAGAAATTAATGATTCTTTTTTGATCTCATTCATTCAATTGACAAGAACTAGAGTAGACGAACGAACGAACGAAAGGAAGAATGATTTATGACAAGACAGAAACTAAGCCAATGGTCACTTAGACTTCCAATAGATGGCAGTGATGGTTTAATTTGACGGTTCCGATAAATTTACTGTTGTGTTTATCGAATGAATGTTGATAGACGACGAAGTAATATGAGAAATATTCATAGAACAGTAAATTTTCGTGAATGAAATATTCTTGCATAACAAATTTCTTTCTTTCCTTCCTCACACCTTCCCATAGATATGACTCAATCCGTATCGATTCGGTTCTTCACCCATTGGTATATATCCTTAACTTCGATTGCAAATATATACTCATCATTTATGAATAATTTACATGCAAAGGTTTTTGAATATAATAAATTGCAAGTGGTTGACAACGATTAGTTGCGGTACGTTCGCTGCCTGTCGAACAATGTAACCAATAGAAAATACTAGCGTAATTTGTGATGTGGCTTTCTGAGTTAAAGAGCAAAATTCCGAGAATTTTATTTAAAGCAATATATTCGTCTATCGTTATTGATGGAAATCTATTCGAATCAAAACAAATGGAATACTATGATTTTTGCAGGAATCACTGTCTGCGATGAATGCCCTAGTAATTATAATGATTTTGCTACTTTGTTCGCGGAATGCCTATACGGCTAGAATAGTAAAATTTTGCACACTATATGATTGCCCATTCGGGCGATTACGTCAAATTACTAGAATATTTATGAGCGTGGACCCATAAACAAAAATGTTTCAGGGTGCTCTTGCAGGAGCTGTAGCTCTTCTATGTGTCGCAACAGAGGATAGAGGACGAGCAGGAGGCTGCTGCCAGTCACGATACAGCTTTCTCTAGGATCGAAGTACAGTCGATGAATCTCTTAGAACGTCGTAGACCTTTAATAGGAAATTCACCGTGGGTCCAAGTCGTCCTGAGAACGTTCAGATTGGCTTTTTCTATGATAACTTCACCGTCAACAGAATCGGCTAAACCTGCCAAGTAATTCTCCCGGTATGACGCGCATCTATCATTCAAGGAAATTTCGCCGAGAGCGTATGAAAAGAACTAATCATTCCAGTGAGAGGATAACATCAAAACACGATATTAATTCTGACTTATCAGCATCAAATAATAATTCTGTTGAACAAATATTGAATATAAAAACTGATACAAATGCTTCTGAAAGTAAATTTTGATTTATATATTTTTTCAAAGTTTGATTTTTAAAAAGTTGTGTATTATGAAGAAAAATCTGATCGTCAAATGGCACCTTCTCAAGAAACATCAGTAAGTGCAGTTCTTTCATCTTCACCGACGACAATGACTACAATGGTGGCTAATAATATGTTTGTTTTATCGCATTATTATCCAGTTGTTCCTTATGTTCTATCTTATCAACAACATGTACATCATGGTGTTGTACATTCTCAACAGATCCGAATAGCTTTATTCACTAATCTTTATTCAGCTCAATAGTAATTTCACCAGAATAAACATTGAAATATCAATTATAGTTTTATTTTCGTGGTTGTTATTCAAACGCCAATGCATGTGCCTTATCCTGGTGCACATCATGCAATTGATGATCCTTCAACTTTATTAGTTACATTTTCACCTGCTTTAGGTAGTGGTAAGTATCAATATTTTGGCTGCCCATCATTTCCAGTTGGTCTTCTATCTTGTCATCCTTCACTCGAACCTCCACATGTACTACCAAGTTCAATGAGTGGATTTCATGTTGCTCATTTTGAAGCAACAAACGTTCTTCAACATCTTAGTGCAGCATTTTCAGCAACATATACATCAAACACTTATTGCTCCTCATCAAATTACTACTCAATCAATGACAGCAGGTTTAGCAACAGTTGCCCAAAGATGAGTTTTATATAGAACAACGCTATCCATAACGAAGGTAAACTGTTTTTTGCTATGTTCATTATAAGTTTTGTTCTCGTCTTAATTGTCTGTAGCTAACCATCTAAAAGTTGATGGCATACGCAATCCCGTTTTTTGTCATTTTCTAGCAGGCAACATAATTCATTAAGTGTGTTAGATTTAGGCATGCACCAATACCAAAACTAGTTTTGAAATTTTGGTATTGAAGTCTTGGTTTTGATGTCATTTTAGTTTCGAGATTTGGTTTTGAGATGGTTTTGATAGTTTTGTTAATAGTTTTGATTTTGGTTTTGGTATCGACAGTATTGGTTTTGACAAAGTTTTGATGAAGCTTTGGTTTTGAGATATTCTTGATAAAAGCTATTTTAAAGCAGAAAACGTTCATTGATTATCATTTTTTCTCACTCTATCAAGATTATAGATGAGCCCCAATTAATTTCACATATTGGCGATAACATGTGGAGTCTTGTTCGATGCGAAAATAATGCCGAAATCTTATAATGTAATCCAATTTCAATGTTTTGATTTGAATTATTAACAGGATTATACAGAGCCTTTTTTT